TATGTTCTTTCTATGCTTAGTTTGTTGAGTTTTGTATCATGAAAAGACTGAGTTGTATCAAATGCGTTTTCTGTATCTATTGAGATGATTATATGGATTTTGTCCTTCATTCTGTTGACATGAAATCACATGTGTTGATTTGCATATATTGAACCATCCTTGCATCCCTGGAATAAATCCCACTTGATCATATAGTATCTGTTTGATGTGCTGTTGGATTCAGTTTACTAGCATTTCGTTGAGGATTTTTCTATCTATGTTCATCAGGAATATTGGCCTGTAGTTTTCTTTAGTTTTTACATCCTTATCTAGTTTTGGTATCAATGTAATGCTGGCCTTGTAGAATGAGTTAGGGAGAATTCCCTCATGTTCAATTTTTTTTTAATAGCTTGAAGAGAATTTACTTTTGTTCTCTGAAAAATTGATGGGAGTTAGCATGAAGCCATCCAGTCCTGGAGTTTTCTCAGTTGGCAGACTTTTTATTTCTGATTCAATCTAGCCACTAATTATTGGTCTGTTTAGGTTTTCTATTTCTTCCTGTTTTAATCTTGGTAGGTAGTATGTATTAAGGAATTTGCCCATTTCCTTTAGGGTTTCCAGTTCATTACCGTACAGTTGTTCTTGTCTCTGACACTCTTTTGTATTTCTGTGACATCAGTTTTAATGCCTTGTTATTCACTTCTGATTTTGTTTACTTGTATCTTCTTTTTTTCTTGGTTAGTCTAGCTAGTAAATTTTGTTCATAAGTTATCAATTTTGTTCAACTTTTTTAAAAAAACATTTTGTTTTGTTGATCCTTTGTATTTGTTTAAGCTTCTATTTCATTTAGCTCTGCTCTGATTTTCATAATTTCTTTTCTTCTGCTAATTTGGGGTTGGGATTCTTGCTCTTCTAGTTCCTTGAGGTGCATCATTAAATTGTTTACTTGAAACCTTTCTACTATTTTGACATAGGCATTAATTACTATAAAATTCCCATTTAGTATTGCTTTTCCTTTATCCCAGAGGTGTTGGTATGCTGTGTTTTGATTCTTACTGGTCAAAAAAAAATTTTTATTTCCTCTTTGTTTCTCAATAACTCAGGAGCATGTTCTTTAATTTCCATGTATTTGTACAGTTTCTAAAGTTCCTCTTGTAATTGAATCCTAGTTTTATTTCAACAGGGGTTGAGAAGACACTTAGCATTATTTAATTTTTAAAAATTTAGTTGAGCCATTTTTGGTGTTGAGCCATTCTCCAACCTATAGTCCATCCTGGAGAATGTTCCTTATGGTGATAAGAAAAATGTGTATTCTCTAGCTCTTAGATAAAATTTTCTCTAAATGTCTGTTAGAACCATTTGGTATAAAATGAAGTTTAAATTAATTGTTTCTGTTAATTTTCTGTCTAGATGATCTATGTAATGCTGAGAATGGGGTACTTACATCCCCAACGATTATTGTGTTGGAATCTCTCTCTCCCTTTAGATCTAATAATATTTGCTTTATATATGGGTACCTTGGTGTAGAGTACATATCATATATGTGTAGCATTGTTATATTCTCTTTCTGAATTGATACTTTTTTTTTTTTTTTTTTGAGACAGAGTCTTGCTCTGTCACCCAGACTGGAGTGCAGTGGTGCAATCTCAGCTCACTGCAAACTCTGCCTCCCAGGTTCAAGTGGTTCTCCTGTCTCAGCCTCCTGAGTAGCTAGGATTACAAATGCACACTGCCGCATCTGGCTAATTTTTTGTATTTTAATAGGAACAGGTTTCACCTTGTTGCCCAGACTGGTCTCAAACTCCTGAGCTCAGGCAATCCACCTGCCTTGGATTACAGATGTGAGCCACTGTGCCTGATCTGCTTATAATTACATAATTATCTTTCTTGCTTCTTTTTTACTATTTTTAACTTACAGTCTATTTTATCTAATATTCATATAGCTGTGCCTTCTGGTTTTTGGTTTGCATTTGTATAAAATATCTTTTTTTCTTCCCTTTACTTTCATTCCATATGTATCTTTATAAATGAGATGAGTTTCTTCTAGGTAGAATATTGTTGAGTCATTTTTTTATCTATTAATTTAAGCTATATCTTTTAGGTGGAAAATTTAATCCATTTACATTCAAGATTATGATTGATATGTGAGGGCTTATTCCTGTCATTTTATTAATTGATTTCTGGTTATTTTTGTTTATTCCTTGTTCTTTTTCTTTTCTTTCATTGTTTATGGTTTTGGTTTGGTGGTTTTCTGTAATAGTAACATTTAAGTCCTTTCCATTTCCTATTTGTGTGTTTGATGTACAGTGGACTTTATATATTTGTGTGTTTTCATGCTGGTAGATATTGTCCTTTTGTTTCCATATGTAGGACTCCCATGAGCATTTTTGTAGGTCCAGTCAACTGGTAATGAATTACCTCAGCTTTTGCTTATCTTGGAAAGACTTTATTTTCCTTTGTTTATGAAGGATAACTTTGTTGAGTACAGTGTCCTTGGCTGGCTTTTTTTTTTTTTCTTTCAGCACATGAATTTATCATCCCATTCTCTGCTTGCTTGTAAAGCCTTTGCTGATAAATCCACTGTTAGTTGGATGAGGCTTCCCTTATAAATGACTAGATGTCTTTCTCTTGCTGTATTTAGAATTCTTTGTCTTTGACTTTTAACAGTTTGACTACAATGAGCCACAAAGGAGAATTTTTCTGTTTTTTTTTTTTTTTTTTTGGAGAAAAAAAAATAGAAGCAGCCAATAAACTTATTTTTAAAATAACATCACTAATACCAGAGAGATGCAAATCAAAACTACAATGAGATACCATCTCACAGCAGTCAGAGTGGCTTTTATTAAAAAGTCAGAAAATATGAGATGTTGGTGAGGGCTCAGAGAAATAGGAATGCTTACACACCGTCCGTGGGAATACAAATTGTAGCCACTTTGGAAAGCAGTTTGGAGATTTCTCAAAGAACTAAAAATAGAATTACCATTCAACCCAGGAATCCCATAACCATGTATACAGCCAAAGAAAAATAAATTATTTTACCAAAAAGTTACCTGCATTCATATGTTTATTGCAGCACGATTCACAGTAGCAAAGACATGGAATGAACCCTGATGCCCACCAATGATATAATGAATAAATAAAATGTGGTACATATATACCAGCATGCAGTCTTAAAAAAAAGAACAAAATCTGACTCTCTGAGCTCAAAAAAAAAGAAAAAAAAGTCATGTCCTTTGCAGCAACATGGATGCCGCTGAAGGCCCTTATCCTAAGTGAAGTAATTCAGAAACAGAAAACCAAATACTATATCTTCTCACTTCTAAGTGTCAGCTAAACATTGGATACACGTGAACACAAAGATGGGAACAATAGACACTGGGGACTCTCAAAGGGAAGGCAAAAGTTGAATAACTACCTATCAAGTACTATATTCACTATTTGGGTGATGGGATCATTAGAAGCCACCACCTCAGCATCATGCAATATATTTATGTAGCAAACCTGCACATGTACCCCCTGAATCTAAAATAAAAAATAAAATAAAATATTTTTTAAAAGAAAACTATTTTGCCTTGTATCTGTTTCAGGATCTTTGGGCCTCCTGTGCCTGGGTATCTAACTCTCTTGCTAGACTTGGGAATTTTTTATCTAGTATTTTGTTGAAAAGTTTTTCTAACTCTATTGTTTTCTCCTTGCCTCTGAGACTCCAAAATTTTGAATATTTGGTCTCTTTATGGTGTCCTATATGTCATGTGGGCTTTGCGGATTTTTTTAAAACATCTTTTTAAATTTTGTCTATATGAGTTATTTCAAAAGGAAATAGACTACTTTAAATGGACTACTGCACCATTTGTCTCCTTTTTAAAATACTATTATGCATTAGGAAGCAATCTAGCCAGGAGGGTTATTTGACCTCATACAGGTATTGCTTTCCCACCTGTATTGCCATTCATCCAGAACTCCCTTTGACCCAGCAAGACTCTATTCAGTTATTAATGACTTCCTTTGGAAAACATACCCACTACCCTTATCACTCTAGACTTGGCTTAGATACCCTTGTGTTATTCTTAGCATTCGTTATACTGTGTGGTAATTCTTTGTTTCCTGTATTGGACTGTGAATGCTTCCAAGAACAAGAACAGGCTTCATCTTTTCCTTCCTCAAACAGGGAAGTGCCTGACATGCGGTAAGGCATCCCACAATGTTCAATGAATCAACAGGAGGTGCAATGGCCAGTGGAACAATTTATACGTACCGCTGTGAAAACGGCCTTCATAAGTCAGTTGGCTACTAAGCAAATATATAGAGACATACAGGACAAATCCAATCATAGTCCCACTCCTACACGCCCAGAAAGCATTTTTACTTTACGGCAAGTACAAGCGTCTCACTGCAGATGCCGTAAAAGGGAAAGCAGCCCACCGTAGGGACGAGCATTCCAGTTTTGCGGCCCGTCAGGGCGGGAAAGTTCCTTGCTGTCGGTTGGAGGGTGGGTTTTCGTCCCGCCCCCTCCGGCCGTACGTCTGCGCTTCCGGAGGAGTGTCCAAAGCTCACGGACCCAGCGCTGGGTGCCTGTTAAGAACCCGCTCCCCATCGCCGGTGCCATGGAGGCGGCGGTGGAGGCAGAAGTGGAAAACGAAGACTGGGACAGCAGCTGCGGGGATGTATGCTTCATGGACAAAGGCCTCCGGAGGTAAAGGGCGCTCTGCAGCTGGAAGCGACCCTCGCACTCCCCAGGGCCGGGGCCGTGGGCGACTGGCGGCGACAGAGGTGCGGAGGCGCGCCACTGCTTTATCAAGACCATAAGCGAACGCAGTGTGGTTTTCGGCCGCCCCACTCCTCCAAAACTGCTCTGCCGAAGGGCCAGGGTTGAATGAGTCGTGGATGCCTTCCCGCCCTTGTCTCCTGCCCAGCGTTTCACAAAACTCTGCTTAGCCCTGAAACTGCCCCAGGAACTGATCCTCCACCAACTTCTGACCACTCTTTTCCTTCTGCTGGTTTTCCTTACTTACTGGTGGTTATTCCTTTGTTTACCGTTTAATTTTTGGTTTGGTCTTGTTCTCTTATCTTTCTTCTTTCTGAAAAAAACCTGATCACATTGTATTTCTGGCAGCTATGAGAGGGCATTCGCTGCTGCCTGTTAGTTTTGCCTCAGTTCTCCTTGCCTCCATTCAAAATCATTTGTCCGTTACAGAGCATTGCAATACATATATTCATATACTTTTTGAAAGTATTAAAATTATATTTAGTACGCCGTTTCCCTCTCTCTTGAAGCCCCGACTTGTGCAAAGCATGTGAGGCACTTGGTTCTGCAGTACTGAAAAGCAGGTCTCCACTTTTACCATTTCTCCAGTTAAACTTTATTTACCTGTACTGAGCTGCAGGCAATTTCTTAGCAGGCTTTTCTGTGTGTTTGCACATGCTGTTCCTTTGTAGCGTGTCCTCGACGTGAACTTTGCTACCAATAACTAAGCAGCTGGTTCTGGATTCTAATTTAAGGTTTGCCAAATGATCCCAAGAATATGCTGTTCAAGGGACATTTTACATTTCTATTTAATACTAGCTGCCATTTCCTGAATGCCATCTATGTATGCATGTTAGATATGTTATCACTAATCCTCACGGCAATTCTACAAGGTAATTATTTTTCCCATTTACAAGTGATGAATGAGACTCAGAATCTATTAAAAATGTATTTGTCTTTATACACTTCGTAAAGAATCAAGTTCAGATTCAAACCCATTTTCTGTCTAATTTCACTGTCTGCTTTTTCTACTATCTCACATTATCTGCACATTATTAATGTTGAGAAACTGAAATGGGTCAGAAAATAAATGGCTGTCATTAAGAGCATGTGTTAATAGCATAAGGTCTGGCACTAAATAAGAATTCAAGTAAATGACAGAGTAGGATAATTGGGAAATCCTCCAGATAGTCACATTTAGAGGTTGCTAGTTTGAAATTTGCAAATGCTTCCCTGCTTTCAGAGTTAAGTTTCCTACAGCTGTAAGATAGCTGCTACTGAACCTACAGCAGATGCCTATGACATTGTTTGTCCCTGTTCCTGGCCGTGCCTCCCTTCCAGCAACTCCAGTGTGTGTACTGTAGTTTGCCTTCCTGGAACTACTATCTTCAGGAGAAGCTTCAGTTATAAGTAGTAATTAGAGTGAAGATATGAGTTCTGTTCTGGGGAGATGCGTTTCAGCTTGCAACAAGGGAGGACAGGGACTTTTTCAATAGAAATTGCAATAACATGATTTCTTTGAAAATGAAATAGACTGTGGATTAACTAGCTATTGCATACAAAGAAGAAAATAAGGTTATAATCTCCAGCATGAGATCTGGATTTACATATGCTCTGTTAACATAACTGCAAGAATTTGCACAAGCTATTTAATTTCCATAAACTTCTGTATCCTTAAGATACCCACTGCATAGAGTTATTGTGAGAATTAATTGAGGTAAGAAAACTGAGGCTTAGAAAGGTTGTTATTTGCTCAAGTCACACAGCAAAACCGTGGTAGAAAGCAGATTTGCACTGGGATATTAAGATTCCAAAACCTTTACAGTTATTGACTGTTCTTTATCACTACCTGCAATATATGCTGATGACTGCACATAGGAGTTTGAAATGCCCACTGTCACTTGCTTCCCTTGAGCGGTTTCTTGTTTGTATAAATAATCCGAATACTTGATTGTGTTGTAAGAAGCACCATGTTTTGTGAAACATTTCAAAGTTACCACAAATAGGAAGGATTTCATTCTAGGTTGAATAGAGCACATAATTAGTATCTACATACTGTTTGGTTAATTTTACTTATTTGGTCTCACTTTTAAAATCCATTTCTTATTTTTATAATGTATATTTTCTTTTGTAGCATATCAGAATTATCTTTAGGTTCAACTCTTCATGCCATCAGTCTTCATTGCAATAACATCTCCAAGATCGAAGCCATTGATCATATTTGGAATTTACGACATCTAGATCTGTCATCTAATCAAATAAGTCAAATTGAAGGGCTAAACACACTGACAAAACTTTGCACATTAAATTTGTCCTGCAATTTGATTACAAAAATAGAAGGTTTGTAAGCGATTTTCATATAGCACTTAGCATACGGGAAATGATTTAAGTCCATTTTTTCCCAAAAGAATGGAATAAATATTATTATCATAAACTCTTAAAAAATTGAGTCTGAAACTCATTATACAAAATATTTTCTTCCAAAGGTCTCAATTTTAAAAATTCTGTTTTTTTTTAAATACCAGTAAAATTGATTTTGTTGTTACCTAACTGGATTTACTTCAGAACACCTTGAAATAACATTGTAATGCTATCTCTCTCTAATTACTTAAATTTTAAAAGGCTTTATTTTATTTTACTTTTTTTTTAGGACTTGAAGAACTAATTAATCTTGCTAGACTAAATTTATCTTATAACCAAATAAATGATCTTAGTGGTAAGTAGAAATGCTCATGTTTTCTGTATGCTAAATGTTTTGCTATATGTGATAACAGCTCAGCTAAGCATGTTGGAAATCTCTGAATATTAGTCTAATTTTTAGCAAAGAGCTTATCTAGAAAGTGTACTGCAGTCATAAATCTATTTTGTTGGTGCCAAAACCACAGCTGAGTACAAAATAGAAGTAAAAACTAAGGTCATCAGTAGGAGGAAAAGCTTGATTGGAAAGGACCCAGTTTAAGGGAATATGTTTTAATTTTAGCCAGTTAATTTACTCTTATATAGAGAGGAATAGTTCCAATAGAACGTTCCACAGTGGTAAAAATGTTCTAAATCTGTGCTGTTTGGTATGGCAGCCAGAAGCCAAATGTGGTTATTGAGCACTTGAAATGTAGCTAGTGCAACTTAAGGATCAAATTAGTATTTTATTTAATTTTAATTTAAAAATTAAAAGCCACATGTAGCTAATGGCTACCATCTTTAACAGTGATGTTATGCAGCATTTCAAAGGCTGTTGCAAATTAAGGAACAAATAAAACGATATTTTCTTTTTGTATATAATATAGCTAAGAAGATTTTTAAAGTGTACCTTTTTAATGGATTAAAGTGATGTAGCTGATAAGTTGAACAGTTTCATGACTATTCTTAGAATTATCAGTTAGAACTAGCAGAATTCCTCCAGTATCTTCATAATCCTTATCAATATTTGAAACAATTTGATTCATTTGATGACTTTTCTTCCCCACTAAAAGAATACTACCCTATGCCAGCTACCTCGTATACAAAAAAATAAAAAGACCTGGTCTGTACTCTTAAGCTGAAGTAACAACCTTATTTTAATGTTTTAAAACCTTTTTTCCTCCAAAGACACTAAATATTAGAACTGAGTTTCAACTCTGGCCTTGTCATTACCATGTAATGCTGACTAAGATATTTATTCTTTGGATGCAATTTCCTTATCTAAAAAATGTGAATGGATAAGATAGTTCATTCACTTGGCGCATATTTATGAAGATCACTATATCGAACACTCTTAGAGTGGTGAAAACAACAACAGTAAGATAAGTCACAGGGCTAACATTGTACTGGGGAAGAAAATCAGCCCCCCCAAAAAATCAGCAAAAGATTTGAACAGACACTTCACCAAGAAGATATATAAATGGCAGGTAAGCCATGAAAAAAAAAATGATTGGCATCCTTAGTGATTAATGAAATGCAAATTAAAACCAAAGTGGGATACCATTTCACACCCAGAATAGCTAAAATAGCGACAGTGTTGGTAAGATTGTGGAGCAGCTGAAACCTGCATACGTTGCTAGTAGATTTTAAATGGTACAACCACTTTTTGAAATTAAAGACCATGTTTTTAAATTTGAGATACAGTCTTGCTCTGGAGTGCAGTGGTACAGTCCTGGCTCACTGCAGCCTCTGCCTCCTGGGCTCCAGCAATACTCCTGTCTCAGTCTCCTGATTAGCTGGGACTACAGGCATGCTTCACCACACCCAACTAATTATTAGCATTTTTACTAAAGACAGAGTTTTGCCATGTTGGCCAGGCTGGTCTTGAACTCCTGGCCTCAAGTGATCTGCCCACCTCATCCTCCCAAAGTGCTGAGTTTACAGACATGAGCCTGTACTGGCTGCCACTGCATCTGGCCAAGTTTGACAGTTTCTTGTAGTGGTAAACATTCACTTAAATATAATTTTACAGTCTGATTCTTAGGTATTTACCCAAGAGAAATTAAAATGTGTCCACTCAAAGACCTGTACATGAACGTTTCATATGATTACATACCTTTTCATATGATTGTGTTTATGTTTTTCTTCATCATCCCTAACAGCTGGAATCAACTCATATGTCCATCAACTGACAAATGGGTAAACAAATCATGATACATCCAGACAGTGGAATACTAAAAAAAGAAATAAAAAGGAATGAACAGATACATGCAGCAGCACAAATAAGTTTTAAAATAATCATTCTAAGTGAAAGGAGCCAGGCACAAAAGGCACACTGTATGATTCTGTTTATGTGACATTCTTAGAAAGGGAAAGCTATAGGGCCAGAAATAAGAAATTGTTGGTTGTCAGGCCTAGAGATGGTGAGAGAAGATTGATTACATAGTAACATGAGGGAATTTTTTGGGGTGATGGAAATATTCTGTATTCCAATTGTAGTGATTACACAAGTGTATATATTTGCCAAAATACATCAAACTATTATATATTCAAAAACATGTCAATAAATAACAGTGTCTTCATATGGTAAAAGCATACAAAGACAGGAAGACAGGTTCAAGCTTGCTGTGTAAGAAAGAAAGCCAGTATGCTAGGATATAGCAAATGAGTGATTAGTGTGGGAAAAAAAGGAGATGAGAAAATAGAAGTCAGGTCACAGACGGCTTTGTAAGCAAGGTAAGTAGATTGTATTTATTCTAGGTACAATAAGAAGTCATTAGAGGGTATTAAATAAGGTGGTGACATAATTTATGTTTTTTAAAGATCACTTTGGCTGCTGAGTGGAGACAGATTTTAGGTGGGTGGGAATGAAAGGCAGCCAGTTAGGAAGCTAATCCAAGGAGCTAGATGAGAGATGATGATACCTGGGCTAAGGTAGAAATAGTCTAGAGGAATAAATAGATAAGTTTTGCAGGTGAAGTTCATATGATTTGCTGATAGACTGAGATGAGGAACTGAGGCAAAGAGGAATCAAAGATAACTAATTATGAGTCTTCTCTGGATTGACAAGGCAGATCATGTTACTGTTTACTGACGTGGGAAAGATTGGGAGAGGAGCAGGTTTAGAGATGAGGGGATAAGAATTAAGGATCCTCTCTTAAATTTGAGTACATCCAACATATGTAGATCCTTAAGTTGCACTAGCTACATTGTATATGTATGCATACAATCTGCATTTTGAAGGTGGGGAGGGTCATGGAGTTGTAGATTTGGCATTTAAAAGCACTAAACAGTGTTTGTAGCCATGAAACTAGAGGAGATTGTGGAGCGTGTGTAGATAGAGGCGGACACCTTGGAATGAGACCTGGGGAAGCATAGGGAATAATAAAATTGAAGCACAAGAGAACAATAAAATTGAAACATAAGAGGAAGAACCAGGAACATGAAACAAGGACTTAAAAATGTGGTGGTTAATAAGAAATACTGAGTACTATGAGAATGTCAGACCTCATGGAGAGTGGTCAGAGAAGACTTTTCTGAGGATGTGACAGAAAGGTGAGTAGAAGCTAGCCCAACCAAGAAAATAAAAGAAAAGGGTATTCCAGTTAGGTTGAAGAAACTGAAAAAGAAAAGGTGGTAAAGTTGAATATGGAGAGTGCTAAACCAAGCAAAATTCTAAGTGCCCTCCGAGGAACTGTTGAGTGTATCACAATAGTCCTTCCTAAAGAAGGGAAACGGGCATTCATCCACTAACAAGTCCCTTTCATAGACAACAGCCCTTGAAGGCATTACCTTCCTCAACTTACGGACTGTGCCTCTGCTCAACAAGCTCTCTCCATTTTGGAGAAAGTTGTGAGGCAGGAAAACAAACTAAGTGTTTGAAAGGTACAATGGCAATGTACAATTAGTGCTTATCCATGGCAGCTGCAGCTGATGTCCAAGATGGGCCAGGCACCAATAGTGACTGCTACAAAATGTTCTCGATAAGCTTGTGCAAGAAATATTACCGGATAATTAAATAAATGCTAATATATTTATTTTATATTCAAACCAACAAAATTGAAGGGTTTGCTTGTGTCTGCTAATCAAGATTGTTGTGTTGAGAGAGCCTAGAATCATTGCTTTATGCTTTTTCTCATATGAGTGTGCAAGAACCTGGGGAGGTTCTTTTGATTTGTTTTGAAGAGAACCAGAACCCAAGAACCTCAGGGACTAAGGCCTCAAAGAAATATTAAACTTGTGTTTTCTCAAAACAACAGTTAACTTTACTGATAGCCTATTCATTAGATGTAGCTGTTCACAGCAAGATCTTAATAATGCTGCTCATTTGCCTCTGAAAGTATAACCTATCTAGCAATTATTTCTAAATAGCTATTGGAAAGACTATTGCTGTGGCATTTAAAGAATTATTTTTCTATTGCAGGGTTGATACCCCTTCATGGAATTAAGCATAAACTTAGGTATATTGATCTACATAGTAATTGTATAGATAGTATCCATCACTTACTTCGGTGTACGGTAGGATTACACTTCCTGACCAATCTTATTTTGGAGAAAGATGGAGATGATAATCCTGTCTGTCGACTACCAGGTATGAGCAATTAAATATTTTTTCTAACAGTTAATATTCAAAGCTTCTTTTTTTTTTTCTGAAATTGGCAAAGTCTTTAGCTTTTCAACATTTTCTGTATTGGGGAAAACATGATTACAAGTAAAATGAGTGTATTAAAACAAACTAGTGACTGTTACAGAACAAAGATGAACAGCTCAGTAATTCTCCTATTTAGGCAGTTCCATATTTGATAGGTGAATACCTCAAAATTAAATTATATCATTATGCTATAGTCTATTAATAATAGTATAATACTATGCAGCCACAAAAAAGAACATAGAATTTCTTCATCTACTAATGGACAACTATGTCCAAGATACATTAAGAGGATGAAAGCAGTTTTCAAAGTACTACATACAGTAGGCCACCATTTGTGTGTAAAGGGTAACACACATACACAGACACATACATATACGTACATACGTATATATATATATATATATGCACACGTGCACTGAGTATATATATAAAACATCTAGAAGAATACACACATAAAAATACTGATGGTATTGGCTAACTCCAAGAAAGGGAACTGGGTAACTGGCGATTAGGAAATGGGAAAATTTTTTACTATGTTCCTTTTGAATTTCATATTATGTGACTTTATTATGTCATTGTTAATTGATTTTGTTTTAAGAGGGCTTAATAGATAGAGATGCTGGTGCCGCTGAAATGCTATATGAGCTAATTGGGAATCAGTCAAGTTGGCAAAGATAAAGCGGACCAGGCTATCATTTCTAGACCTCACTTATCATATTGTTAACCAAACAATAAGAGAAAAATATGTAGAATGTGAATACACATTCTTAAGATCTACTTGAGTACAAGTTAGCTACAGAGGCTTCATTTTGTCATTCATATGCAACTATAAGAAGGCTTTTTGCAGCATGGAAACCTGTGTTGGTAGTTTTATTTGAAAATATAATACATAGAAGAAAATATAATAGATTTGATCATTGCTTTCCTGAAGGGCAAAACATTTTCTGATGTTTTCCATAAAGTATCCCTGAAAATCAAGAAAGATTTGAGAGTTTTCTCAGGAAACCATTTCCTTGAAAGAAAACCACATTACTAAAACCTTGCATTTTTCTTTTCTCTGCTAAACCCTCAGATTGGAATTTTTTTTTTTTTTTTTTTTTTTTTTTTTTGAGACGGGGTCTTGCTCTGTTTCCCAGGCTAGAGTGCAATGATGTGATCTCAGCTCACTGCAACCTTCACCACCCAGGTTCAAGGAATTCTTCTGCCTCAGCCTCACAAGTAGCTGGGATTACAGGCATCCACCACTATGCCCAGCTAATTTTTGTATTTTTTTAGAACAGACAGGGTTTCACCATGTTGGCCAGGATGGTCTTGAATTCCTGACATCAGGTGATCCATCTGCCTTGGCCTTCCAATTTGCCAGACTTAGTTCTTTTTTTTTTTTTTTTTTTTGAGACGGAGTTTCACTTTTGTTACCCAGGCTGCAGGAATCTCGGCTCACCACAACTTCCGCCTCCTGGGTTCAGGCAATTCTCCTGCCTCAGCCTCCTGAGTAGCTGGGATTACAGGCATGCGCCACCATGCCCAGCTAATTTTTTGTATTTTTAGTAGAGACGGGGTTTCACCATGTTGACCAGGATGGTCTCAATTCTTGACCTCGTGATCCACCCGCCTCGGCCTCCCAAAGTGCTGGGATTACAGGCTTGAGCCACCGCGCCTGGCCCAGACTTCTTTCTTACTTTTGCAGTTCTTCAACCACTTCATTGGTCTTTATTAGAAATACTTAGTTTTAAAATTACATTTAAGCAGTATTAAAGTGCTTCTGTTAGCCTTAGTACCAAGTGAATGTTAATTTGTCAGATTTCTGTTTAATTGTTCTTAGGGAAAATAAACATATTATCCTTGATTACTTGATAGTTCACCTGCCTTAATATTAGTTATGTGTAATTTGAACAGAAGAAAGAGGGTTTTTTGCTAATGCTGAGACCTCACTAGGGAAATTCTGGCACTTGAGTCATTATCCACATCGTCCTGCTTTATGTTTATTTATGTTATTTATATTAACCATATTAAAAAATAAACAGACATATTTAGCTTCCTTCCTAGAATAAATTTGTACTGGTTTCATGCATTATATATTTAAAGTAATTTTTTAGAGTTGGCTACTTTAACTTTTTAAACTTCATCAGGAAGGTTGTTTGAGAGGGATAGAGAATGGGGAGAAGTGTTTCTTTTATATTTCGTGATTTATATTTTAATGATTAAAAGGTGGAGAAGTTGAATAAGTAACAAGTTTATTGTTTACTTTCTGGAACTAATTTTATCATTTGGGGAATATATCTGGTAGCTCATAAATTTAGTTTATTCTCTAAATAATTGACTTCTTTTTTAAAAAATATTTAAGTTTTCATTTTGAATGATTTGTTTCCAAGGGTACAGAGCAATTATTCTCCAGACTTTGCCACAACTTAGAATTCTAGATGGCAAGAACATATTTGGTGAACCAGTAAATCTGACAGAAATAAATTCATCACAGATGCAGTGCCTAGAAGGTCTTTTGGATAATTTAGTTTCTTCTGAATCTCCCATAAATATAAGTGAAGATGAGGTATAGTATTTACTTTTTTTTTTCTAATGTGGAAAACACATTCAAATTTTAATAAGTGAATATAAATTAAAAGGATTTTGGTTTGTTTCTGTGTCATAGATCATTGGTAGAATGCCAGTGGTAACAGCACCCATCGATGAGTTAGCACCCTTGGAAGAGTTTGCAAGTACACCAAGAGATGCTGCCTTGACATCTTTAATATCTGTGTGTCCATCTTCAGAGACAGAGAAAATTCATCATGAAAGCAACTTGCAGAACGAGATAAAACTTCAGAAGTTAGATGATCAGATTTTACAACTTCGAAATGAAGTAACTATTTTTCCTACTTCTCTATAGACATGTTTATTGAAGAAAACATAGTTAAGAAAATGTAACAAAAATTATGTACTAGCTGGCCAAGCTATCGTTTAATGCATCAGTGTTTATGGATTTTTGTTTTCCTCTACAAAAATAGTGTTCTATTATTGCATAGTGGAAGAAAAAGGTAACATAAATTTTTCACTCATTTTACTTGTTGTCTTCCTTTTACATCTTCTTTATGTAATTTCTTTGTCTTGTTCTGCAGTACTTCACATTGCTTCCATTCCACCCCGCTTTTATTTCTGCCGTAACCAAGGGGGAAACTCTTCAGACTCAATGTTACTTAGCGCAAAGGATACATGAAGTGCTTTTGGCCTCTACTATGTTTAGTGGTTTAACGGGCAAAATCACTTCTACAACTTATACCTGAATGGCAAGTTAATTTACATAGTTCCTTTATCAATTTCATTTTCCAGTAGACCATCACCTAATCAATCTATACTTTCCTGAGCTGTTAATCCTTTTTTACCCCTGCTACTGAATCTCTAGTTTTTAGAATCTGTGAACTATGTGTATGAACTACAGTTCCTAGAATTTACTGCTATTCAGGTCTCCAACACTCGTTCCAGCATTCTTGTTATCATCCACAGTGGTGATGGTTCTTAGGTACCACGCCTATCTGACTGCAGTGGATTATTACTTCATTTGCCTTCTAGCTGGGTGTAGGATAGAACGATAGTGGTATAGGTCAAAGAGGCTATTAGTCAAATGTTAGTTCGACTTGGAAATTTTGTAGCTAAGTTATTCTTACTAATTTTTTTTTAAAGTCGGTGTCTTACTCTGTCACCCAAGCTGGAGTATGGTGGCATGAACATAGCTGACTGCAGCCTTGAACTCCTGGGCTCAAGAATCTTCCCACCTCAGCCTCCTGAGTAGCAGGGACTACAGGCACATTCCACCGTGCCTAGCTAATTTTTCAATTTTTTTGTGTGGAGACTGGTCTTGCTTTGTTGCCCAGGCTGGTCTCAAACTGCTGGCTTCAAGTGATCCTCCCACCTCAGCCTCTGAAAGTAGTGAGATTACAGGCAAGAACCACCACACCCAACCTTTATAACTAAATTTTCTTAGTCAAAATCTTTTCTCAAATTAGGAAGGGGGAAGGAGTGGAAAATATGAAATGGTTATGGTTCAGGAGGTTTTTAATCCTGAACTATAATGTATATAATATTAACAATGCTGGATAAACAAGAGATCTGCCTTAGGTGAGTAAAAGTGAATAAGGCTGTGAGGATTCTGTTTCAGAAGTCTATAAAGATTTCAGTTTGAGCCATATAATGCTAGCCTACGTATTCTTTGACATCATTGTTACTGTATGGCTGGACTTTTGGACTCTTCCATTTCCTCAGGTTTCATTTTTCATCTTTTCTAATGGCTGACTCTTCTACCAATGAAAGAACTTAGACTGAAGTTTAATGATTTTAATTTGAAGTGAACGTTTCAGTTTCTCATAGGCTGTTCTCATTTTATTCTCATGACAACCCAATCAAGTAGATAGAGATTAATGTATTATTGTCCTTGTTATAATAGATACCAAACTTACTATATATGTATATATAAATATATATAAAAGAAGCTCCAGAGTTTAAATCACTTATTTAAAAGTACTTTGTTAGTAAGACAGTTCAGCTCAAAACTCATATCTCCTTATGTCCAATCAAATTATTCAACTATATCATGCTTCTTACTTACTTTTGGTGCTATTTCTTTCTACTTTGTTAACCAAAAACAGGAGTCTAGCTATCTTGAAAGAAAGTTGATTCACTGCTATGTATATTTAAAATGTTTAAGAAAATGACTTTTATTCACTCTCTTAGTGGTGTAAAGAATAAACATGCAGTTTGAATTTCATTGAGCTGTGTATACACTCAAATGATTTCATCTCAAGAGTATCAATTTATAAAGTGATAACATTACTGCAGTGTGCTGTACTGTAACAAAGACATTTATTTTTCTTAATCATGGGACTTATAATTACCCCCACTGATTTGGGAAATTTTATGTCTGTGAAAAGCTGTTTTGCCTTTAATTTAGTTTTTCTCCAACATTCTATTATGACTATGTTTATTCTTCAGCAAATTTGAAAGAATTTTTTAGTGAATACCAGTATATCCACCAACTAGATTCTACCCTTAACATTTTATTACATTTATTCTGTCATGTAGCTATCTATTCATCTATCAAACTATCTTACGGCACATTTCAAAGTAAATTACACGCATCAGTACATTTCTTCCTAAATACTTAAGCATACATATCATTAATTATAGTTAAATATTTTTAGGGGTTTTTTTGATGTGAAATACAGGTCTGCATATTTCCTGAATTGAGAATACATATACCTGTTATCTAAACTTCCGTGAATTTTTTTTAATTGTACTTTAGGTTCTGGGGTACATGTGCAGATCATGCAGGATTGTTGCATAGGTAGATACATGGCAAGGTGGTTTGCTGCCTTCATCCCCCCATCACCTATATCTGGTATTTCTCTCCTCATTATCCCTCCCCAACCTCCCTATCCCTGCTATCCCTCCCCTGGCCACCCTTCTACTGACCGCAGTGTGTGATGCTCCCTTCCCTGCGTTCACGTGTTCTAATTATTCAACACCCACCTATGAGTGATAACATAGGGTGTTTGGTTTTCTGTTCTTGAGTCCATTTGCCGAGAATGATGGTTTCCAGATTCACCCTAGTCCCTATGAAGGACACGAACTCATCGTTTTTTATGACTGCATAGTATTCCATGGTGTATATGTGCCACATTTTCTTTATCCAGTCTATCGATGATGGATGTTTGGGTTGGTTCCGGGTCTTTGCTATTGTAAACAGTGCCACAATGGACATACATGTGCATGTGTCTTTATAATAGAACAGTTTATAATTCATTGGGTATATACCCAGTAATGGAATTGCTGGGTCTCTTTCTGTTTCTGGGTCCTTGAGGAATTGCCACAATGTCTTCCACAATGGTTGAAAGACCAGTAAGGAAATGAATATGAGATCCACAAACAGGGAGAAAATATTCACACTAGAATATTGTCATGTTCCCTTATGGGCTCTTCCACAAGCAGCCCTCCTCTGCCTCCAGACTCAATCACTTTGCTGATTTTTTTCTCTACCATATATTATTTAATACTTGTTTTAGAACCTAATATAAATAGAATCATACAATGTATACTCTTTTGTGTAAGGCTTCTTTCACTCAACATAATCTGTTAAAAATTAATCCATGCTATTATGTATATCAGTAGTTCTTATTTCTATGTAGTATGCCATTCAATGAATATACTACACTTTTTTATTCCATTATCCTGTTAAAGGTTATAACCTAGCTTATGAGCTTCATTATTTGAGGTTTATGAGTAGAGCTGCTATGAATATTACCATATAATCATTTTGTGAACATGTATCTTTGTTTCTCTTCAGTAAACTGCTAGGAGTGCAGTTTCTGGGCTGTAGGGTAGATGTATGTTCAGTTGTATAAGAAATTGACAACCTTTTTTCAAAGTGGTTATTCCATTTATTCCCACTAACAATGTATAACTGTTCCAGTTCTTCTGCCACCTCACCAATATTTGGTGAAGTTCTCATTGCTTTGATTTTAGTCATTCTAGTGGGTTTATTCTGATGTTTCTTCTTATTTTAATTTGCATTTCACTAATGATTAGTGATGTTGCACAGTTTTTCATGTGCTTATTGAATATTTATCTTCTGTGAATAACTATTCAAAATTTTTGCCCATTTTTAAGTTGGGTTGTTTATCCATGTTATAGGAATTTGTCATATATGCTAGATACCAGTGTTTCGTCAAATATGTCTAGTGTGAATATTTTCTTCCTGTTTGTGGATCTCATATTCATTTCCTTACTGGTCTTTTGTTAAGCAATACTGTTTAATTTTGATAAAGTCCAATTTGTCATTTTTTCCCTTTTATGGTCATTGTTTTCTGCAATTTTAAAAACTTTCGTGTATACCAAAATAGAATTCTCCTGTGTTAACCTCTAAAAATTTTACCTTTTTCACTTAGTTCTGTGTACATATATGGTTCATTCTTTTCCATATGGATTTTCAGTTATCTCAGTACCATTTTTGTTAAAGGCTTTTCTTTTCACTAAATCTTTAAATGAATTTCTTGAAAAAAATCACCTTACAAACTGTAGAATCTAGCTTTGGGTTCTTTTTTTTTGTCAGTTTGGGTAAGTTGTATTTTTCAGTTAATTTGTCCATTTCCTTTAATTATCAGTGTAAAATTGTTAATATTCACTTATTGTATTTTTAATTTCTGTAGGGTCTATAATGAAAATCTCTTTCATTACCGATATTGGTAATCTGTGTTTTCTTCGTTTATTTGTTTGCCTTGATCAGTGGAGGGCTTTTGGTGATCTTTTCAGAGAATAGACTTCTGGCTTTTGTTAATTTGATTACTATGTGTTTTCTATGTTATTGATTGGTTTTTATTTTTCCCCTCTACTGTGAATTTACTTTGCTCTTTGTTTTCTAGCTTTTTTTTTTTTTTTTTTTTAATACATTCTTGCTCTGTCACCAGGCTGGAGGGCAGTGGCCTGATCTCAGCTCACTGCAACCTCCATGGCCCCTGCTGTAGCTCCCAAATAGCTGGGATTACAGGCGTATGCCACCACACCCAGCTAATTTTTGTAATTTTAGTGGAAACAGGGTTTCACGGTGTTGCCCAGGCTGGTCTCAAACTCCTGGCCTCAAGCGATCCACCCACCTCAATCTCCCAAAGTGCTGAGATTACAGGCGTGAGCCACGGCCCCTAGCTGTAACTTCTTAATATAAGTATTTCTGTCATTGATTTTAGACCTGTCTCCCAATGTAATCATTTAAAGCCATAAACATTCCTCCAATTACTGCTTTAGCTGCCTTCCACAAATTTTTATGTTTTACTTTTGCTATTTTATAATTAGAAATATTTTTAAATTTCCTTTGTGATTTATTCCTTGATCCAATATATATTTAGAAATGTCTTGTCTTAATTTTCAAACTATTTGTCATTGTGTAGATGGGTTATTGGTCCTTGATTTCTAATTTATTTCCATTTTGTTCAGAGAACATACTCTGAATAATTTCCATCTTTTTTAATTTATTGAGTTTTTTTTTAATATCCTGGTATATGGTTTTTCCAGTTGGATATTCATTGTGCTCTTAAAAAGAATGTGTATTCTACAATTGTTAAGTCAGGATGGTTGCTAGTATTTTCAGGTAAACCATGTCTTTACTCATTTTTTTGTCTGTTCTATCCATTGCCGACACTTGGCTTTTTGTTTGTAGATGTGGGGGGTTGGTCTAGTTCTATCAATTGCTGCATGAAGAGGTGTTTAAATCTGTGTGATTGTGGATTTGTGTTTCTCCCTTTAGTTCTTTATTTGCTTCTTATGTTTGAATCTCTGTTATTAAATCCACATTTATGACTGCTTGGTTTTTCTGATGAAGTTACTCTTTTATTATTATGAAATGTTTCTCTTTATCTAACAGCTTTATTGAGATATTCACTTACCATATGGTTCACCCATTTAAATTGTGCAATTCAGTGGTACCCATCAGCAGTCATTACTCATTTCCTTCTATCTCCACCCTCAATCCTAAGCCACCATAAATCTATTTTCTTTCTCTGTGGATTTGCCTATTTTGAACTTTCATATAAATGAAATAATAATATTTAGCCTTTTGTGACTAACTTCTTTCATTTACCATATTTTCAAGGTTCATCCATATTGTAGTATGTATCAATGTTTCATTTTTATTACCAAATAATTATTCCATTGTATGGATGTATCACATTTTATTTATCCTCTTGTCAGTTGATAGACATTTGAGTAGCCTCTACTTTTGGTTATTACCATATTTCTTTGAATATTTATGTATCAACTTTTATGTAGACATATGTTTTCATTTCTCTTGGCTATCTACCTAGAAGTAGAATTGCTGGATCATATGTTTAACCTTTGGAGGAACTGCCAGACTTTCCAAGGGAACTGCACCATTTTACATCTTCACCAGCAGTATATGAAGGTTCTAATTTTTCCATATCCTTGCTATCTTGTTTTTATATGTTATTTATATTATAGTTATCCTAGTGGGTGTAAAGGCATATTTCATCCTGGCATCCATGTACTTTTAACTTGTTTGTGTCTTTACATTTAAATGGGTCTTGTGGACAGAAGATAGGTGAGTCTTATTTTTAAGTCCCATCTGGCCATCACTTCTTTTGAAGAGTCCATTAACATTTAATCATTATTGAAGTTGTGTTAGGTTATACCATTTTATTATTATTTGTTTTCTGTTTGTTTTATAGTCCTTTTCTTCCTCTCCTACCTTCTGTTGGATAATTTTTAGAATTCAGTTTTAATTCATATGTTGGTTTTTTAGTCATACTTCTCTAGATTTTGTTTTGCTCCGGTTGCTCTAAAAAAAGGTTTTAAACAGTCTACTTAGTACCATATTACTTCAAGTAAAATGTTTCAACATCATTTGTATTTATCTGTATACAAATCATCTGTGATGCTCTTTTTCTGCTTGAGGATTCAAATTTCCATCTGGTGTTGTTTTCCTTCAGCCAGGACTTTTACAACTTTAGTTGTAATGTTACATCTGTGGATAGCAGTCTGTTTCACCTTTATTCTTGACGAACATTTTTGCTGAATATAGAATTCTCAATTGACAATTTTTTTTTTCAGTACTCTCCCTGGCCTCCATAGTTTTGAGTGCAAAGTTGGCATTAATTCAGATCCTTGATTGCTTGTATATAACATCCCATTTTTCTTTGGCTACTGTCAAGAATTTGTCTCTTTGGTTTTCAGCAATTTGACTGCATTATGCCTAAGGATGGTTTTCTTCATATTTATCCTGCTTGGGGTTTCTCTATGCTTCCTGAATCTGTAATTTTATGTTTTTACTTAATTTGGGAAATTTCTTCTGCTGTATTCTCTCCTCTCGTTTTCAGATTCCACATAAACTTTTTGATAGCATCCCAAAATTCTCTGAGGCTCCATAAATTTTGTCAACTTTCGGTTTTCTGTATTATTCATATCAAATAATTTCCATTGAACTAGCTTCAGGTTCACATACTCTGTCTTTATTGCCACACTCTGCCATTAATCCCAGTCAGTTTCTACTTAAGACATTGTATTTTTCAGTTATAGAATTTTTTTTTTTTTTGAGACGGAGTTTCGCTCTTGTTACCCAGGCTGGAGTGCAATGGCGCGATCTAGGCTCACCGCAGCCTCCGCCTCCTAGGTTCAGGCAATTCTTCTGCCTCAGCCTCCTGAGTAGCTGGGATTACAGACATGCACCACCATGCCCAGCTAATTTTTTGTATTTTAGTGGAGACGGGGTTTCACCATGTTGACCAGGATGGTCTCGATCTCTTGACCTCGTGATCCACCCGCCTTGGCCTCCCAAAGTGCTGGGATTACAGGCTTGAGCCACCGTGCCCGACCCCAGTTATAGAATTTTTATGTTTTACAATGCTATTTCTGAGCTGAGTTTTCTTATCTTTTCATTTATGACAGGAATATTTCTTATTATCTCATTGAACATCACTGATCGCTATTTTAAAGTTCTTGTTTGCGTATTCAAACATTTGAGTCATCTCAGGTTTGGTGTCCATTTATCACCTTTTCTCTTGACAATAGGTCATTTTCATGGTTCTTCCTGTGGTGAGCAATTTTGAAGTGCGTCCTGGACATCATGAATGCTTCATCATGGGTACTCTAGACTTGGTTATAGTCCTCCAAAGAGTGTTGATATTTTTGTTTTAGTAAGCATTTAACTTGGTTTAACTCAGATTGTATGTTTTTCTTTTAGGTACCAGTTCAAATTTCATTTATTTTTTTCTTTGCTGGGCTACTTGCAGTCCACCCCATACTGCCCTCTGGTTCTTCAGGCCCTGAAGTCTGTGGTTTTTCCTACCTGAGGTTTAGACTCCCTGCATAATGCTTGTTGTGATACATTCTCAGGCTAAAAGCCTAAAGAAATAGAAGCACCCTCATTCTGGTCCATTTTCCAAGTGTCAGTTCCCCTCTAGAATAATCCTACTTTTGTTCACTTTCCAAGGCCGTCAAGATGTTTTTTTTATTTTTGTTTTGTTTTGTTTGTATTTTTTCCAGAGTTTATAATTGTTATCTGCAGGAAAGTAAGCATGGTAGAAGCTTGCTTGTCCATACCAGTTGCTGAATTCCCTCCCTGCATTTAATTTCAAACATTTCTAGTTTATAAACCCTTAATCATATAAAAAGTTGTAATATTTCAGACAGTTTCCAATTTCAGTAATTTTTATACTGAACTTTTAACAAACTTTGTTGTCTTTTTAAATTCTAGACTTCTAATTCAACAGATAATGTTCCTGAGAAAGACCCCAGACCAAAAAGAGACACAGATATAACTTCTGAAAGTGACTATGGAAACAGAAAAGAATGCAATAGAAAAGTTCCTCGAAGATCAAAAATCCCATATTATCCCAAAACTATTCAAACTATTAAGCACCACAATAAAAACTACAACTCTTTTGTAAGGTACTTGTTTTAGTTTTAGAAATTTAAGGCACATAGAAGTGAATAATGCTGGCTTCTCTCTTGAAGCTATCTCATGGTGATATTTGTTACTTTACTAATATTGAAGATTTGATTTTTCAGCCTAGTAGGTAAAGATTTGCTAAGTACATTCATGTACATTTATATAAAAGGATCCTTTTCTCTGTGTATATACCTAAGTTGCAAAGTTAATGTATAAACCTTCTCATACGTAAAGAATACTGACCTTAGAACTGGAATACCTTAGTTTAATCTAGGTGTAGTTCAATCAAAAACAATGTGTGTGGTTTTAGTTTGATTTGAACTAATGTTATTAGTTCAAATTCCACTGCATTCATTTACAGTGGGAAATAAGACTGGTACAATTGAGTCTACATGACTGGTCTTTTCTCTTTGTTGGCAGATCTAGATGGAAAACCAAGTCCTAGTCATATGATACTTACTGAGTTTAGAATTAAATGTGAATAAGATGAGTATGTTTAATGCCATAAGGACGAAGAACACCGATGTCTGTATTTTCATAATTGGGATCACCGTGACAAATGGTTCAGAAATGACTGCTCTGGGATGGTTTCAATAAACTTTTGTCTCTGTAATTCTCCTTTTGAAAAGCATATTTTGTTGTCTTCTTGTTGAATATTTCCATACCTACTTAGTATATTTTACATACACACACACATACACACACACACACACACAGAGCCATTCAGTTCACTTTAAACACTGTACTTTTTTCCAGGACATACCCTGGAATTTCTCTGGTCCTACCAAGTAAGAGAATCTGTTATCTTTGATCCATTATGTGTCAATTTTAAACTTTTCACTCCCAAAGAGTAGTTCTATTTACTGTCTTTTCAAGTTCTTGGGTATTGTCTTACCATAGTCCTGAGTACTCACAGTACTTTTTAAATTATTCTGATATATCCCAGAATTCTACCTTACCTGAAAACATTGAACATTTATGAAATCATTATCTTTTTAAAAATCTTAAGGCATTCATTAACAGAGCACACCCATTATAAAATTTATGAAGTAGTTTGTCCAAGTTACTATAATTTTATTAATATTCTTTTTAAAAATGCTTATTTGCATATACAACTACAAATGTTAATGATAGAGAAAATGTGAACACTATGCTTTTTTTGAGTTATTTCCTATGTTTTATTCTTTACAGTTGTAATCGTAAAATGAAACCACCTTACCTTAAAGAATTATATGTAAGCTCATCTTTAGCGAACTGTCATATGTTACAAGAATCAGAAAAGCCGAAGACTGAAATAATTAAAGTAGAAAAAAGTACCTCAGAAGACAACACTTACCGGGTACGATTTAACAGATTAAGAAAAAATGAATATGAATAATTTTAAATAGAGTCCCAGAAAAATTAAGCATGCTATTATTAGCAAAAAATGTTTTAATTTTATCGGAGTGATGAAAAGGTTATTTTTTTCTTTCCTGATTTCCAGATTTATGTAACATTATTTTTGAATGAATGAAAATTGCATTTTTTAATAGATTTAGGTGAAATCATTTGTTATATGCTTTTGGAGGAAGAAACAGTTACAGATTTTTAAAATTCTTGTCTCTTAAAGTAGTGCTTTCTACTTTTTTGGGTGTCAGATCCTTTTCAGTGTCTAAAGAAATCTATAGGTCTTCTCAAAGAAATCTATTTTTACACTCAAAAAAATGTATATGATTTCAAGGTTTTCATGGACTCCCCTGAAACTCAGTTTTGGACCAGTGGATCTAAATTAATGGTAGCAAAGAATAAGAGGTGTTCAGAAATTTTTTAATTCTTTAAAATGTGCGTAACAGTTCACATATTGAGAAACTTCAGTACATGTCGATTCATTATTTTATATTTTTTATTAACTTGCCCTTATATTACTTGTGTATTGTTCTTTCAGTAATAGAATTGCTACATTCGAGGCTACTAGTTTCCTCCCCTTATTCTCAACTATAGAAGCTTTAATATTGAAAAATAATAAGATATATCATTGTGACTTTGGGCACACTTCGTCTTTCTTCTTACTTAACCTATTGTTGTGCCTATGTTTCCCAAGTTACATATTCACTTTTCTCGTGAAAAATCAATCTTTTCTGATTCTTTATCTACCTCCAACATTTGTTTGAAATTAGATCTTTACCAATCTTCATATTTTCTTGTATGCCTTGGTAGGAACTCTCTATCCTAATACAGGGTCTGGCATGCCATGCTATGTGCTATTTCGAAAGTGAATCTTATCTACTATGGCCTAATAATAGCAGCTAACATTTATTGAGTGGTTATTATGTACCAGGCACTGTTCTGCACTTTTCCATATGCTTTGCTACCATTAGCTTAATTCTCAGCTAGGCACACTGGCTCACACCTGTAATCCCAACACTTTGGGAGGCTGAAGTTAGTGGATTACTTGAGGTCAGGAATTCAAGATCAGCCTGGCCAACATGGTGAAACCTCATCTCTCCTAAAAATACAAAAATCAGCCAGGTGTGGTGGCACATGCCCATAGTCCCAGCTACTTGGGAGGCTGAGGCAGAAGAATCACTCGAACCCAGGAGGTGGAGGTTGCAGTGAGCCAAGATCGCACCACTGCACTCCAGCCTGGATGACAGACTGAGACTCAAAAAAAAATAAAATAATTTTCACTGCAGCTCTTTGAAGTAGGTACTATTATTCCCCTCTTATAAATGCAAACATTGAGGCAGTAAGAATTAGGTAACTTTTCTAAGTTCACATAACTTTGTTGTTTTCTTTCAGTCCCTTATTGAACAGCTAGACCAAGAGAGAGAGAAGAGATGGAGAGCTGAGCAGGCTGAAAAGAAACTCATGGATTATATTGATGAGCTCCATAAACATGCAAATAAAAAAGACGATATGCATAGTCTGGCTCTGCTTACCACAGATAGGTAATAAACCTGAAGATACCTCATAGCATAAAGAATACTGACTTTAGAACTGGAATACCTTAGTTTCAGTGTAGTTCAATCAAAAACTATGTGGTTTTAGTTTGATTTTAAGTAATTTTATTAGATAATTCAGCGCTTTATTAGCTTGTTATATCAACAAGAAATTCAGGTACATGTATTTGAGCCCTCAAGCAGGGAGGTGTCAGATAAATATTGTAAGTAAAGAACAGCAAGAGACTAGAGCAGTGATTAACAAACTTTTTATGTAAAGTGCCAGATTCTGTGAAAGGCAGGCATTGGCAACCTTTTTCTTAAAGCTTCATGGGTCATATCTGATATCGTCACATACTTATCTTCTGAAATGGGCTTTTGTATCACACAGCGCAGTTTCTTAATTCTAATGTATTTATTCTTCTATTCTCACCATTACATCTCCCATTTTATGTGGGTTTTTTTGTATTGCATTCTCTAATACTTTCATTTCATTGTGTGAAAACACCAGCTTTTAAAATTACAATAACTTTTTTCTGTTTCCCATAATAATTTCTAATGTTGTGCTTTTCCTCAAATAATTATAAGATTTTTAGAGTTTCTGATGGTTTTTTATCCTTGAATGAGCACTAGGTTTCTAGACTTGGCATTTGTTAACAGACTTTGGGAAGTTGATCTTGGTTCCATTTCCTGTCTGATTGTGCAGTGGATAATTCTTCTAAAATCTCATTTAGATAAGTTGATGTACACAGTTCACAGCACAGTTCCCAGTTTCTTTTAAGCATTTAACTTGGAAAGTTTTGTGATACTAATCTAGTATATTCTACCCCACTACATGTTTCTCTGATCTGTTTGTTGTACCTGTGGAGAATAAGAACAATCATAGTACCCAACCTGCGTGCTACGAGAACCTCTATAATTATGAAGCTGTGATGCACTATATTATTACTAGCCCTTTTACCACTACCCACCAACTTCATGCCTTATTTGTGTTTTACAAATGTCTGTCTGAATTGTTACAAGAAAATACTAGGTATAGATGAGGGTACAGGATGGTTCAATTAAGAGTACTCTATGAGAATAAATTTGGTTAAAAAAGAGTGCTCTGACTACCTCAGAAAAATAGCACCCCTGCTTTCAGTAAGTACATAGGTAACATTATGTAATGACAGATGTATAGACACCCTGTGACTGAGTCATGGACAGGCAGTAGAAGAGAAAGGATATGTGTTCCTTTTTTCAGAATGGAGCTGTTTCATTAGACGAAGCCTGAGTATTCTAGGAATTGTTTTTAATTTCAATTTAGTTCCATTTGCCTTATAATTGGAATTATTCCCAGATTTGGGCATTCTGTTATCTTTTTTTTTTCAGTTGTATGTGTATGAATTTTTACTTTATTCTGTATTCTAGGTATTGAGTGGGATATTAATAGGAAGCTGTGCCTAGGGCTGCTAGCAAAAGTCCATTTAAACTGAAAGACTTTAGGCACACTTCACCTTTCTTCTTACTTAACCTATTGTTGTGCCTGTGTTTCCCAAGTTATATATCCGTTTTTCTTATGAAAAATCTATCTTTTCTGATTCTCTTTTATCTATCCCCCACCCGCCCACATTTGTTTGTGATTAGATCCTTACCAATGTTCCTACTCCCGTATGTGCCTTGGTAGGGACTCTGTATCCGTAATACAGGGTCTGGCATGTAGGCACCATGCGATGAGTATATGCTATTTCAAAAAATGAGTCTATCTACTATGGTGTCTTTATTATCCAGACCTCCTTGATGGCCAGATCTGTTCCTCTAATTATCTACTAAAAATGCCTTGCCTGTATTCCTCATAGTTTCTTAAGATCAGCATGGCCTCAGGTGGGCTCATTCTTCTTCTTTATTACATATTTCTTGCCCTAGTAAATGGTGCCTATCCAGCATCCATTCAGTCATCAAAACTATAGAAATCATGGAATCTTTTTCTTGCTTCTCATATCCCAAATCCAGTTGATATTGATTATCGTCTTTAATGCTGTCTTTATTCATCAATTGATATTGATATCATTTTAAAAGATGTTGAACTGTTTCCTCTGTATCCCAAACTGTTACCTTTCTTTAGGCTTTTATCTGTTGCTTAGATGACTGCTCCATTTCTGCTTCTCTGTGGCTTCCCTGCCCCCTACCCACATGCAGTCTCTCTCTCTTTCGTATAGCATACCAAACAGGAGTTGAGAACATGAACAAAGGAAGACCAGTTTGAAGAGTACTCTTACTGAAGTCAAGACGGAAGGTGATAAGTACAAGAACTGGAAAAATGACCATAGTGTAGAAGTTAATGGATTTTTTTTTAAGTATTTCTTGGAAATTACTTTGGGTTGGCTGCCTGGCTCAGTAGTTTCTTCATGAGGCTCTGTCTTTGTCAGTATCCCTTTTGCAAACAATAGACTTATACTCTGTCACCTCAACCACCTCTCTGTAGTATTTGGTTAAGGGGTGAGCACTTGACCTAAGCTGGGTAAACATAATGCTGTAGCTTGTGGCCACAGTGATTGGTTCTTGGAGTGGACATATGAATCCAACTGGACTAATCAGAGACTTGTCTAGGACTCATTCGAAGTTGAGTTAGAGAAAGATAGTCTTTCTGTTTGGTTCAGAGCTATTAGAATATGATCCCAGAGATGTTTGTAGTCCCCTCCTGTACCCTTATCCCAAACTAAAGATGCTTACATGACACCATCAAGACTGTCTATATCTGATTTCCTAGAGTCTGCTTTTGAAGCCAGACCCTAGGATGGTGTTATGTTCTTGGTTTCAGTGGTCCCTCAAGATAGTGCCACCCCATCTTTCTCTATGTTTGCTTATGTGGGTCAGTAAATACTCTCTTTTTATTTAAACTAAGAGTTTTCAGTTGTAATAAAAGGATTCTGACCAGTACAAAGCTGGGAGGAATACTGAGTGTTTGGGTTAGATACAAGAAGTCAAAATTGACTTATAGGTTGCTGTTTATTTAGCATTATCTGTTACACCACCTTATAAATATATCATGTCTCTTCCCTCTGTGAGATGCTGGGTTCCTTGAAAGCAGAGAAGACTCCATCTTGTTCATCTTATTCACCTGCTTGCCTTTAAATCCATATCTAGGACAATGCCTAAGACAAATTGTTTCGTAAAGTTCTGCTGTTGAATAGTAGTTTTTATGAAATATTTTCCTTTTGAGCATAATGTTAGGTTCAGGAGTAGGGGAAAGACACACTATTCTTCTGCCAGTTTTAACTGTAATTAGAGTTTGAAACATACTTCAGAGCTTCTCTAAATTTTAACACTTCCTACAATTTTATCATTTTTATATGTGTCATATACTTAACACCACATATAACTTCTGCTTTAGGCTAAAGGAAATTATTTTTAAAGAGAGAAATTCCAAAGGACAACTCGAAGTTATGGTTCACAAACTTCAAAATGAAATTAAAAAACTGACTATTGAACTAATGAAAGCAAAAGATCAACAAGAGGATCATCTTAAACACCTAGGAACCCTGGAAAAAACATTAGAAGAAATGGAGAGACAAAAAAGGCAGCAGCAGGTGGCACAGGTAATTCTGTATTTTAATGTATCCATGGCGTAGATTAACACAAATCCATAGATTCTGTCTTGAAACAAATTATACCACTTAGTAACCTAAAAGATGTGAGGCTGTATGCAAAAATTAAATTGCTGTTAATTTAACAGTCACGTAGCCTGTTGAATTAAATTAAGGCTACTAGCACTTAACACAAAGCAATTAAAAAGAAAAGTTGATGGAGATGTCGCAGGTAATTAGGCTTTTATTCTGAGAGAGCTGGCTTTTAAAAAGGCTTTTATCATTAAAATCTGTGATGCAAATAAGCAATAGTTAGTGCTACTGTATTTGTTCTTTCCAAGGCTGTACTTTGTGTGACCATAACATCATTAATTTATTAAATTTTGAAAATCAACTTAGTCACCAGATTTTGTCATTTAAAAGGGACTTATAGAACTGACATTAAAATAGCAGGGGAGATTATTATCTAAATACTGTAGTTGTGTGTATTTTACTCAGATAAAACTGATCCAAGAGGTAGAACTCAAAGCTTCAGCTGCCGATAAAGAAATATACTTACTTAGAACTTCCCTTCATCAAGAAAGGGAACAAGTGCAACAACTTCATGAACTTCTTGCATTGAAAGAGCAGGAGCACAGGTAAATGAAAAATGTATCAAGAATGTATTGGCATTTAAAAATAGAGAAAGAAAGCTACTGGTTCTCACCACCAGTATTTAAAGATAGTGACTGAGTATTGGTGAAGTCTGACAGAATTCGTTGGTGAAAATGCTATATTTAGATGTACATTAGCATCAGCCCTATAGCAAGAACTACTAGCTAAAAAACAAATAGGTAACTTTGTTATCAGTATTTGAGGTATAGGTTTATAACAGTATGGCTTATTTTTTATTTCTCCAAACCCAGCTAAAAGTTGGTCTTTATATAGAGAGAAAATTTGTAATTGGCCTCCAAGTTAATTAATTAGTAAATTAATTAATCAGTATTCTTTATTCCTCTGAAAGAGGGGGTCAATGAACTTTTTCTGTAAAGGGTCACAGAAAATATTTCAGGCTTTACAGGCCATACCTAACTTTGCCTTTGTAGCACAAAAGTGGCCATAGATAATATATAAATGAACACCATGGCTGTATTCCAATAAAAGTTTATTTACAAAGAAAAAGGCAACAGGTCATATTTGGCTGATGGGCTTTAGTTTGTCAACTCTTGCTCTGTAGAAGCCGTAGTAATTTGAAGATTTTCAGCTTATCTATTTCTGTTATCTACATACTGTTCAACCAGTAGAATTGTATGATTGTCATATGTTAATTGTATTTATTCCCAAATCTGTTTTCTTTTGTACCTACATAAACTTTAATGCATAAATTTTGGTGCTCTGGGGAAAATGGTCATCACGTATAGAAGAGACAACTATAAAAGATAGAGGGAAAATAATCACAAAAATCTAGAATTTTGCACTTAGTTTCCTTTACAGATGTCTTTTAAGTTTTCATTCCAGTTTAAATAAACCAAAATCTGGAAATAATGGGTTTCACATTATGGGTTCAAGTAATGCAAGAAAAGTAGTGGGGAACTGTAAAGAACGAACTCACATTTAAATTAAAAAGTGGCCCTCTATCAAAAGATTTGTAAATAACTTTACACTTTAACTGACTTTTTCTATTAACGAATCACCAGTGCTAATCAGACTATATTTATTGCAAGTCAAAGACTCAGCCAAAGTAGTAGATACAGTGAAGCATCTTATGTAAATGTACCTGAAGAATTTCTGAAGCCTTAGAATGATCCTGAACTATCTTATGAAGTTAAGATTTGACATACTTCTCTTATCCCCATCACTATTAAATGCACAATCAAATAAAACTCATATTATTTGTACCTATCTATGCCCAGTTACTGTGTTTGAAAGTGAGAGGCTGATACTGAATTAACAGTAGTGAATATAGAATGTTAAGAACTATGTAAAGACCTTTAAAATGTTTCTTTTCAAGCAAGTATCATCCTTTGATTTTTATGTGTTTTTTACTCCAGGAAAGAACTTGAAACAAGGAAATTTGTTACTGATACTGAGTTCCAGGATGCCTTAGCTAAAGAAATGGCCAAAGAAGATAAAAAGCATGAGCAAGTGATAAATGAATACCAAGAGAAAATTGATGTGTTAAACCAGCAGTATATGGACTTAGAAAATGAATTCCGTGTTGCTTTAACTGTTGAAGCCAGAAGATTTCAAGATGTAAGAATTGGCACCCAGCTCTTTATTGAAACAGAATCAATAAGATATGGTTTGATGAAAGGACTTTGTTTTAGAAACATAGCAGTGTTAAACGTTGGCTTTATAATGTTAAGTAAAATATATAAATTCTTAGAGACCTTAGTTTCCTCAAATAAATAATAACTACTCTTTATTGCTCTTGCAAAAACTAAGTAAGATTATAATGTTGAAGTCAAGAGAGCATTGGAATAGGAATCAAAGAACCTGAATTCCCTCCTATTACTATAGAGCAGGGATTGGCAAAACTGAAGCCCCCAGGCCAAATATGGCCCACTGCCTTTTTTTTTTTTTTTTAAGTAAAGCTTTATCGAAACAGAGCCGTGCTTATTTTTTACATATTATCTATGGCTGCTTTTGTATTACAAAAGCATAGTTGAGTACTTTCTTTTTTTTTGAGATGGAGTCTGTTGCCCAGGTTGGAGTGCAATGCAGTGGCATGATCTCAGCTCACTGCAACTTTCGCCTCCTGGATTCAAGCAATTCTTATATCTCAGCCTCCTGAGTAGCTGGGACTATAGTCACACGCCACTATGCCCAGTTAATTTTTGTATTTTTAGTAGAGACAGGGTTTCACTATATTTATTGGTTAAATTGGTCTCAACTGCTGACCTCAGGTCATCCACCCTCCTCAGCCTCCTAATGTGCTGGGATTACAGGCATGAGCCACCATGCCCGACTGTAGATGAGTACTTTCAACAGAGTTTATATGGCCTGGCCTGTATAGCCTAACAGGTTCTGGCACTTTCTAGAAAAAGTTTGGTAACCCCTGCTATAGAGGAATAATTGTGCTCCTCAGACCAGTCCCACCTGATGTGCACTAGATCCCATTTCCTCCTGCCTACTCTAAGATACGGCTTCAGTAAGTCTTCTCTCTTGCTCTCATACATCTGTAATTTTTCCCTTTATATTGGTTCATTCCCTTCAGCATACAAATATGCTTTGATTTCTCTCATCTTAAGAAAACTCATTCCATTTCTTCCTTTGACTACATTATTTCTCTCCTTCCATTTGCAATAGAACATCTCAAAATTGTGCGTTTGCTGTCTTTGATTTCTCTGCTTCTCTCCAACCTGCTCTCATCAGGCTTCTCTCGCTATTACTGTGCTAGCATTGCTCTATCAAAGCCACCTGCATTGTCTACACTATGAAAATCATCAAATTTATCATCATCTGATTTGACCTAGGTACAGCAATAGACAGGGTCAATAGCTTTTTCCTCTTCCATACTCTTTGTTTGGTTGGTTTCCAGCACAATGCATTTCTTGGTTTTCTGGGCTTTCCGTTATGTCACTTTTCAGTCTCTTTTTGTTAGTTTCTCTTACTTTCTCCACAACCTCATTATTGCAATGCCCAAGTTTTCAGCCCTTAAATTCCTTTTGTTTTTTTATAAACATTCATTCTCTTGGTAAACTCCAGCATCATTATATCCCCAGCCTAGACATTTTGCATGAATTCCTAACTTCTGTGTCTAACTACCTGTTTGACATATTCTACTTAACTGCTGATTTTTCTCGCAAACCTTCTACTCTGACATTTTTCCCATCCCAGTTAAAGACAACTCCATCCTTCTAGGTGCTTAGGCCAAAAACAAAGTCATTGTTGATTACTCTTTCTCTGACACTACATTTTTAGTACCTCAAGAGATTCTGTCATCATTATTTTAAAAATATACATGTGACCATTTCTTACCACCTCTAACACAGCCATTCTGGTATGTCACATTATCTTGTATTATATGAAGAGCTTTCAAGGTAATCTTCCTGCCTCCATCCTTCCCCTACCCACCTCTGTTTATCCCAAACACAGCAGGGAGAATGTTCTTTTAAAATATATGTTTAATAATATGACTCCTCTCCTCAAGGACTTCCATTTTCCCTCCATTTTATTCAGAGTAGTGATCAAAATACTTCACAATCTAGCCCTCTGATTTCATCTCCTATTACCCTCCCCTTTATTTATGCCCCAGCGATGTCACCCTTCTTCCTACTCCTCCAGCATATCAGGCACATTCCTGCTTAGAACACCCCTTTCCCACACATTCGCATGGCTCCATTCCTTACTTCTTTCCAGTCATTGCTCCATTGTTACCTTCTCGGTGATTACGCCTGTTAAAATTGAACCCACATCTCCCAACTTCACAAACTTTTTACCCAAGCATATTATATCATCTAACACGATATATAATTTATTATGCTTGTTGTTATATTGTCAGTTCCTGCCACCTAGAATTTAAACTTTATAAAAGCAAATTTTAATCTGTATACTCACTGAAGCATTTCAGTGCCTAGAACAATATCTGGCTGCCCAGGCTGGAGTGCAGTGGCGCGATCTCAGCTCACAGCAACCTCTGCCTCCCAGGTTCAAGCGGTTCTTCTGCCTCAGCCTCCCAAGTAGCTGGGATTACAGGCACTCACCATCACAACTGGCTAATTTTTGTATTTTTGGTGGAGATGGGGTGTTACTATTTTGGCCAGGCTGGTCTGAAATTCCTAACCTCAAGTGATCTGCCCTCTTTGGCCTCCCAAAGTGCTGGGATTACAAGCATGAGCCACATGCCCAGCTCAAACAAATGAGTTCTGGCTTTAGATTTGACACTAATTCCCTGGATCACTTTAGGCAAATACAAAATAATCATCCTGGGTCTCTGTTTCATCATCTGGAAATTAGCAGATTGAAACAGATTATCTTTAAATTTTATTCTTTTGCTAAAACTGTGATTCTAAGAAAGATGTAAACTATTTCCAGAAGCAAATATTTTCTAATTATTTGGAGAACTGCTATTTATAACACAATTTTGAAATATAGGTTAAAGATGGTTTTGAAAATGTTGCAACTGAGTTAGCAAAGAGCAAACATGCTCTTATTTGGGCTCAACGAAAAGAAAATGAGTCTTCCTCTTTAATTAAAGATTTGACCTGTATGGTGAAGGAACAAAAAACAAAACTCGCAGAAGTTTCTAAATTGAAACAAGAAACAGCAGCAAATTTACAGGTAAGACTTTGATTTTCTCAAGTGGATTGTGACAATTTTAGGAAGTACACTAAAGGAACTTTTAAATGATACTTATCATATATTGCATATAAGAACAAAAACTAAAGAAATTAAACTCGTGATTTCACAGATTATATTGCTTACATCAAGATAGCATTTAGGTAAAATAGGTGAACTAATTTTAAGCAACATGTTCAATTAAATAGGTGCCAGGAATACAGTGACACAGTAAAAATTGTGAAAGTGATACTCAAATGGTTAAAGTTTGGGAAGCACTACTTGGATAGCTGATATGAATTTTGTGGTGGTGATGCTGATAGTTTTAGATATACTTAGATGTAATAATCTTTAAATTAATGTCTTTATGGCTGTTGTCTCAATTTTAAATATTAATACTGTTTTACCCAAAATAACTTATTTCTGGAAAATGACTTTTAGACTATTGATATAAATGCTTGGTGAAATTTTTGAGTTTTACAGGTATAGTTGCTCTTTAACAATTTTAGAATAAAATTCATATTGTTTAAAGGAGTGTCCTCTTAAATTTGGCTGTTTATTTCATGATCTACATTTGTCTTTAGTTAGTAAAACTAAAACTTCTATGTAAAATTTGGTAATGCTTATATTTGCTTAAATAACATTTTTTCTTATGAGATGGAAAAAATAGAAAACAAACAAGCACTTAATATAATAATTGTTTTATTTTTTCGGGGAATATACAGAATCAAATCAACACCCTTGAAATTTTAATTGAAGATGACAAGGAGAAGAGTATTCAAATAGAACTTCTCAAGCATGAAAAAGTCCAGCTTATTTCTGAGCTAGCAGCAAAGGATTCACTAATACTTGGTTTAAGGACAGAAAGAAAAGTATGGGGACATGAACTGGCAAAACAGGGTAAAATTCTCAGATTTTCAAAGGGAAAATAGCTTATTCTTATAAATGAGCAAATCTGGGTATTGAGAAAAAAAGGCCCAACTCTGCCTAAAGTTGCCCAGAAAAAAGGTGACCCCAAGCCCAAGGGGAGATGCAGACCTCTTAGGAAATGGGAAATAGTTTATTACACCAATGAATAAGTTATGGCTCTGATTTTTTCAAATTTTTTTCTGATGATAATTTGACTACTTTTCTGAACCATGTGTACTTTTATAATGCAACATCTAAATATATTGGTTTTGTTTTGTTTTGTTAGTTTTGTTTTGAGAGATTTGCTCTTCTTGCCCAGCCTGGAGTGCAAAGGCACAATCTCGGCTTACCAAGACCTCTGCCTCCTTGGTTCAAGCGATTTTCCTGCCTCAGCCTCCCAAGTAGCTGGGATTACAGGCATGTACCACCACGTCCGGCTAATTTTGTATTTTTAGTAGAGACAGGGTTTCTCCATGTTGGCTAGGCTGTTCTCGAACTCCTGACCTCAGGTGATCCAGCTACCTGGGCCTCCCAAAGTATTGGGATTACAGGTGTGAGCCACTGCATCCGGCCTAAATATATTATTTTAAAAAATTTTGTTTTTTTGAGACAGAGTTTCGCTATTGTTGCCTAGGCTGGAGTGCAATGGCATGATGTCGGCTCACTGCAACCTCTGCCTTCTGGGTTCAAGCAATTCTCCTGCCTCAGCCTCTCATGTGGCTGGGATTACAGGCATGTGCCACCATACCTGGCAAATTTGTATATTTTTAGCAGAGACGGGGTTTCCCTATGTTGGCCAGGCTGGTCTCGAACTCCTGACCTCAGGTGATCCGCCCACTTCAGACTCCCAAAATGCTGGGATTACAGGTATGAGCCACTGTACCCAGCCAAAAATAATTCTTATACAGTGATTTTAAGTTATTTGTACAGTATACACATTTTCTGATATATGCAACATTTATTGTGTATGTACAAATTAAAATATATGGATGAAAACTAGGTTTCAATAAACCCTCAGCCCTGAGTCTCATTCCCTTTTGTATCACTGTAAAGCAAGAGATATATACTGTTTTGTTTTTGGTTTTTTTTGAGATAGAGTCTCACTCTGTCCCCCAGGCTAGAGTGCAGTGGTGCAATTTTGGCGCACTGCAACTCTGCATCCCACATTCAAGCAATTCTCCTGCTTCATTCCCCATAGTAGCTGAGATTGTAGGCATGCACCACCACACTGACTGATTTTTTTGTATTTTTAGTAGAGACAGGGTATTACCACATTGGCCAGGCTGGTTTCAAACTCCTGACCTCAAGTGATCCACCCAGCTAGGCCTCCCAGAGTGCTAGGATTATAGGTGTGAGCAACTGTGCCCAACCAGGATATTTAGTCTTAATGGAGCTTTGCTTATTTGTTCATTCCCTGCAGGAATTGTTAATATCCTCTTTTTTGTTTGAATGCCATAACATGAATTAATATTACATATCTGAGTTACTTGTTCTCAACTTTATTTGTGGTTTCAGGTTTTAAAATAGCCACAAGTGTTTAAGAGGCCTTCTCGTTTGCTTCCCCTTTCCTCTTTGTATTTCCCTATTATAAGCTACGTTTCTTTATTTATTTTTATTATTATTGTATTATAGATTGTTAGAATTTAATAAGATTCAAAACCCCCAAGGTGTTTTAAAGTATGTAATTGATGATTTTTGTTTCTTAGGATCTTCTCTAGCTCAAAATCGTGGAAAATTGGAGGCTCAAATTGAAAGTTTATCGAGAGAGAATGAATGTCTGCGAAAGACAAATGAAAGTGATAGTGATGCATTAAGAATAAAGTGCAAAATCATAGAAGACCAAACTGAAACTATTAGAAAATTAAAAGACGTAAGTTTGACATTTTACTTTGGTTAAAGAGCAAATGACAGGTTTGAAAATCTGGAGATCAAAATATCCAGTCACTGTTTTTCATTGTTTCCCAACTGTTGTCAAATTTGGAGTAGACTATCATGTATTTCTTTTTATAATACTTGCCGCTTTGCTCTTAAAAAATTCTACATGATGTTTATTAATTTGGAATAAACTTTACTTAAGAATCTAATGGAGAATCTTATTATGGCCTTTGGAATAATGGTAAATACTCAGTGTCAATCAAGGGTTAGGAGTAAGAAGAAAATGAATCTTGAGTGTTTAAAATGTTATTTTAAAGGATAAATATTCTAATTAATCAGCATATGAAGCATTTAAAGTTAGTAAAAACAAAGTACCAATTTTTTTCTTGAAGTGCTTACAAGAAAAAGATGAACACATCAAAAGATTACAAGAAAAGATCACAGAAATAGAAAAGTGCACTCAAGAACAACTTGACGAAAAATCCGCACAATTGGATGAGGTACTTGAGAAGTTGGAAAGGCACAATGAAAGAAAAGAAAAACTAAAACAACAGTTGAAAGGAAAGGAAGTAGAACTTGAAGAAATTAGAAAAGCTTACAGGTATTATACAGTACAGTATTTCCCATTGAGAAATAAAATGTGGCTTAATAATTTCATAAACCCAAGTTATTTTTCCAATTCTCATATTAGTACACTGAATCAGAAATGGCATGATAAAGGAGAACTTCTATGTCATCTTGAAACACAAGTAAAAGAAGTGAAAGAAAAATTTGAAAACAAGGAAAAGAAACTTAAAGCGGAAAGAGACAAAAGTATTGAACTACAAAAGTAAGCATTAAATTCTAAAGGATTTGAGATCTCCTTAATTGTAAACACTGTGGGATAGGTGAAATCTGTGTAAAGAGAGGAGGGCTAAAAATGATGTAGGACAATGTTATTTGCCAAGAAATTTATTTCCATTTCATCTGTAAAATGAAGATAGCAGTAGCATCTACCTTAAATGTTAGATAAGAGGTTGACATTTTTTATATATGTGTATTTATTTATGAATAGATATGGATTATATGAATTATCTAGTTCTCATAACAGTGCCTGACACATAAGAATTGCTACATGAAGCTGCATACAGTGGCTCACACCTGTAATCCCAGCACTTTGGGAGGCCAAGGTGGGTGGATCACCAGAGATCAGGAGTTTGAGACCAACCTGACCAACACAGTGAAACCTCATCTCTACTAAAAATTTAAAAAATTAGCCAGGCGTGGTGGCAGGCACCTGTTATCCCAGCTACTCAGGAGCCTGAGGCAGGAGAACCACTTGAACCTGGGAGGGACAGGTTACAGTGAGCTGAGATTGCACCATTACACTCCAGCCTGGGCAACGAGAACAAAACTTTGTCTCAAAAACAAACAAGAATTGCTATATGAACAAGTTGTTTTTATTACTATGATAGTTTTAAACTCTGTTTGAATGAAACCAGCTAGTGATATCTTAGTTGTTATAAGTGAAATTTTAGGAGTCTGTCAGTTGACTACCAGGGGCAGTGGGCTCCTGAGGAGGCTAGAGGACATTTAGATATCAATTGCCAGCACAAGCTGAGGATGAGAGCCGATTTTAAAGAGAGGAAATAAAATGTGTACCTGGCTGCCACTGTTATGTGGATTCCATAAAATACTCAAGAGTAAATAAGTTTTTACTGTATTAAAAAATATAACTAGACTTGTTAAAAATAATTTATAAAGTTGATACCTTCCAAATTAAGTAGCCCAGCTTAATGATTAGTTGTCATGTCAAGACAGAATGCTATAGATAACATGGCTATGGATAGGCCAAAAATGTCATTTAAAGATAAGTTCTAATTATATCAACTCTAATGTAACCTGGAATTTGATTTCTTGCTTTGACTCAGTCTAATGGGAAAGTGTTGTTATGCTCTGCAGAAAGTTTTGTTTGATAGCACAGTTGTTATGCTCTGCAGAAAGTTTTGTTTGATAGCACAGTCGTCTCCGTTGCTAGACCCTGTTCCACTTGGCATTTGACCAAATACTAATAATACAAGAACCTTAGCTTGGAATCTGTTGCAATTTTTTATCCTGTCAGCAACAAATTTGCAATTAGGAGTCTTTCAGTTTCTAAAAGAAAGTCATAGTCTATAATTAGCAAAAATCTATAAAACCCAGCAATCTTTAGAATCTTTTCCATTGCATTATTTATTATATCATTAATATAAAAATACAGACTTGATTTTATACATGAATTGCCTTTATGACTAAGATTGGTATAAATACTTTTTAATTTAATGGAATTGTAATAAAATAAGCCAATTATTGTTAATAATAACAGGTTTTACTTGTGTAGCGTTTTACAATTTATAGGTCAGTTTATTCTATGTTATTTTGAACCCAACAGTAATCCTGTAAGGTTGGCAGAACAGGCAGGATTATCCTGTTTTATAGTTGAAAAACTCGGTTTGTGACTTGCCCCTAGTCACTATTGGCTACTAAGTGGTACAATTTTAAAAAGGCTTTTGATGCATGTTCCTAACGTTTAATCTTTTATTACTGATTGCTGTACCAAAACCGGAAAATGTGCTCTTTTAATGAATGTTACTTTTTTAATAGCATTATTTGTATTTATATAAAGGAATTGGTGTTTTGCCTCTAGTATACTTTCAGCACTAAAATTTTGTGAATACCATTTAATGTGTTTTGTCCACTAAGCATTACCATAAGGAAACCACAAGTACATATTCATAAACTTAAATCATCTGTAGTCTGCAATTCTCAAAGTATCACATTGAAAACATATGGGGAAAAAAGATTGATAGTAGTCATCATCTGTGAAGGTGCTTATAAACTGTACCCTTAAGCCAGATGGTGGCTCACACCTGTAATCCCAGCACTTTGGGAGGCCGAGGCGGGCAGATCACTTTAGGCCAGGAGTTTGAGACCAGCGTATCCAACATAGTGAAACCCTGTCTCTACTAAAAATACAAAAAAATTAGCTGAGCCATGATGATGTACAGCCTGTAATCTCAGCAACTTGGGAGGCTGAGGCATGAGAATCACTTGAACCCAGGAGGCAGAGGTCACTTTGAGCCGTGGTCATGCCACTGTACTCCATCCTTGACACAGCAAGACCCTGTCAAAAAATAAAATAAAATAAAAACTATACTCATAGACTCAAAATAAATGGGGAAACAGAGTACTCTAAGTTTCAGAAAATGAAAGTATAATAAACTTTTATATAGTGATACATTAGTGATATATAATCCCAACCTATTTGTTAACTTAGTAGATTCTGCTGGATGATGAACTACTTATATCTTTAGTTACCCTGTAATAGCCCTTTGATGCTTTCATAATACTGAGTTCCATTCCATTATGAATGTGAGCCACCCAAGAAGAAATAACATCCTAATCTCTACACTCACACCACATATACACATGTATATGTTGGTGTTCTTGTTTTTTTAAGGAATGCAATGGAAAAGCTTCATAGTATGGATGATGCCTTTAAAAAACAAGTTGATGCAATTGTTGAAGCTCATCAAGCTGAAATAGCACATCTGGCAAATGAAAAGCAGAAGTGTATTGATTCTGCAAATTTAAAGGTACTGTAAGTAAAATTCACAGTAATCAGTATATTACATGAATATAGCTAAATAAATTGGATCTTTGAGAATTATGAAGAGCAAAGGCAACATGATCTCATGACCAAATAGATACGAAGAATGTTGCCAAAACTATCATGAAACCAGGCTAAAACATTGGTAGTACTTACATTCATTGTAGAACATAATTCTAGTTTCTAAACAAAAATTGTACATTTGATTCTAGTGTGCACCCTCTCTGCTCTCTGTATAAAAATTTTATATCAATTAATCTTGGATAGAAGTCTGTTTGGTTACACATAGGCAGGGTGAGAATCCGAATATATTAAACATACTCTATCACCACATGGGAAAAAGTTATCAAAGAGTACTTCATTTGGGTTCAAGACTGTCAGTTTTATTATCTCAATGTTATTAACAAAATCATGAGTTTAGGGTGATGCTCAATCAGAGGCAAACATCAGAAGCACCTATGAAGCATTTTAATAATACATATTCATGAACTTCCCCTCAGAGACTCATTAAGTCTGGAGTCAGGCTCAGGTATATTTTAATTCCACAGGTGATTCTTATGTGACCTTTCTGGTGAGATTATTATGAATTTCTATTTTTTCCTGATTCTGAAGTGGTAATAAGAAACTAAGGTATCTGTAAAACTGGAGATCCACAAATCAGCAACTAGAAAAGAGTTCACCAACAGAAAGGCAAAGTAATACTCGATATAGAAATTATATGGCTGGATGCGATGGCTCAAGCCTGTAATCCCAGCACTGTGGGAGGCTGAGGCTGGTGGATCACTTTAGCTCAGGAATTCAAGACGAGCATGGGCAATATGGTGAAACCCTGTCTACTAAAAATACAAAAATTGTGGTGGCACATGCCTGTAGCTGGGTGTGGTGGCACATGCCTGTAGTCGCAGCTTTTTGAGGGGACTGAGGTCGCAGGATTACTTTAGCCCAGGAGGTGGAGGTTTCAGTGCACCAAGATTGTGGCACTGCACTCCAGCCTGGACTACAGAGCCAGACCCTGTCTCAAAAAAAAAAAAAAAAAAGATATATATATATATATATATATATATATATATCTCAAGGTTGTGTGTTTAAATTACATTATCCTCAGGACTCTTTGCAAAGAAAAAGAAAAAGAGATTATAAAATAATCTCATTGTGATTATTTGGAAATAATCACAATGAGTAAGAAGTATAACTTGTCCAAAATTTTGTTTTTTGTTTCATGTAAAGAGATGTTCCAAATGTTTTTCTTCAAAACTACCAAATGTAGGCTGGGCATGGTGGCTTATACTTGTAATCCCAACACTTTAGGCATTTGAGCGGGGAGGGTCACTCAAGATCAGGAGTTCGAGACCAGCCTGGGTAACATAGCCAGACATCTTCTCTACAGAAAAATTTGTTAATTAGCCTGGCATGGTGGGACAAACCTTAGACCTGTGTACTCCGGAGGCTGAGATGGGAGGATTGCTGTGGTGAGCAGTGATCATACCACTGCATTCAAGCCTGGGTGATAGAGATATCCTATCTCAAAATTTTAAACATCTACCAGATGTTTAACAAGGGTACATCAGGTAATACTAAATAAGGTTTAAACCTTAAATAAGTTTTTGGGTAATACTGAATAAGTTAATACTAAGTAAGGTTTAAGTATTACCTTTAATACTAAGTAAGTTTAAGGTTTTTTTTTTTTTTTTTGAGACGGAGTTTCGCTCTTGTTACCCAGGCTGGAGTGCAATGGCGCGATCTCGGCTCACCGCAACCTCCGCCTCCTGGGTTCAGGCAATTCTCCTGCCTCAGCCTCCTGAGTAGCTGGGATTACAGGCACGCGCCACCGTGCCCAGCTAATTTTTTGTATTTTTAGTAGAGACGGGGTTTCACCATGTTGACCAGGATGGTCTCGATCTGTTGACCTCGTGATCCACCCGCCTCGGCCTCCCAAAGTGCTGGGATTACAGGCTTGAGCCACCGCGCCCGGCCTTAAGTTTAAGGTTTAAACAAGGGAAGTGTTTGAAGTAATATCAAAGGGAAGAGTTTTAGAAATAGCACTAGAGCTTAAGTATGATAATTAGGTTTGCAGGCGGGGGTTATGAGATATCACATACTGGCAATCATTTAAATTGAGAGAAATACTAGTTTTCTAAGGGAAAAGAGATTGAGAGATCTATATTAGGGGTTAGGTAGCATGACGTAAACAGAAAAAGATGATCATATTGGTAACATCAGAAGTGTTATGATATTGTAGGAAAGAATTTCAATTAGAAGTTAGCAATATCAACTACAGTGACTCTTAGAAGTAGGTTAGGAATAAATGGTAAAATGATCTCTCAAAAAGATGGTAATTATAACCACCAGCAGCATTTTTAGAAAAGCAGTAGGCACTACATTAAAGATAGGGTTTCTTCGGGGAGGGAGGTTATTTCAGTTTTAAAAATCTGTAAGGAACTGGTGTTTAAACTGAACTTGTGACTCAGCATTGATAGCAGCATAGGACTATAGAAAGACTAAATCAAAAACCTGGGATTCTGTCCTAGCTGTGATATATAGAAACTGTAGAACCATAAACAAATTTTCTAACCTCTAAATAAAGTGTGTGTGTATGTGTGTGTGCGTGCACGCGTTTGTGTATTTTTTTGAGACGGAGTTTTGCTCTTGTCCTGACTGGAATACAATTGCGCAATCTTGGCTTACTGCAGCCTCCACCTCTTGGGTTCAAGTGATGCTCCTGCCTCAGCCTCCTGAGCAGCTGGGTTTACAGGAGCATACCACCATGCCCAGTTAATTTCATATTTTCAGTAGAGATGGGATTTCACCATGTTGTCCAGGCTGGTCTCGAACTCCTGACCTCAGGTGATTTGTCCGCCTCAGATTACAGGCATGAGCCACCGCTCCCGGCCAAGTTAAAATATATTGCCATGTCTTTTGCACAAGAAGTTTATGAAAACTTAGTAGATAATATATTAATGTATGAAAGTACTTTGTATACTGTGTAAATACTGTATTTTTCCTATTAGCATTTGAGCAAGTTACATTTTACTGACATATCTTTAAATATATCACAAATTTCAAAATGTGTAACAATAAATTGTGGACTTCTTTCAGAATGCATTTTAAAAATACATTTTCTTTAAGAAATTAAAATGTAAAATTTACATGTTGATTTAGATTCATCAGATTGAAGAAGAAATGCGTGAACTTTTGGAAGAAACATGCAAGAATAAAAAAACAATGGAAGCAAAAATTAAGCAGCTTGCTTTTGCTTTAAATGAAATTCAGCAAGATATGTGATGCTTCTGAGAATGAATTTAATTGAAATTGACCAGCACACCTATTGTAAAAATGATTAAATACTGTAATAGTAGTAACTGCTATGACTTTGAAATGTCTCTTTCTACATGTTTCATTATGAATATATATATATTTTTTAAGACTTTTGATCAAATATTTATTAATTGTATATGTAGGTTTTTTATAATAAATTGTTGACAATTATGTCAATTAGAAAAAACTATCATAACTAAACTTACAACATTTTTATTGTTTCTGTACTATACATTGTTTGGTAATTACACATTTGCCTAGAGATTTGTAATGAAAAGATTAGTATTTTGACTCTATGAGGGAAAATATTTTTTTTTCTTTTGAGACAGAGTTTCACTCTTGTTACCCAGGCTGGAGTGCAATGGCGCGATCTCGGCTCATCGCAACCTCCGCCTCCTGGGTTCAGGCAATTCTCCTGCCTCAGCCTCCTGAGTAGCTGGGATTACAGGCACGCACCACCGTGCCCAGCTAATTTTTTGTATTTTTAGTAGAGACGGGGTTTCACCATGTTGACCAGGATGGTCTTGATCTCTTGACCTCGTGATTCACCGGCCTCGGCCTCCCAAAGTGCTGGAATTACAGGCGTGAGCCACCGCACCTGGCCGAGGGAAAATATTTTAATCGTTGTTGCCTTATCGTGATGATGAAGAACTAATTATATTTTTTTGTTGTCATTTAGTTAATGTAGCTCAATTCTTTTAAAGTGCTTATCTAGCCAAAAAGCATTTGAAATCTTTATGATAAAAGATGTGGCATTCTTAAGAAACTGTATGTAGCCATCTCCACATCACTCATTATGACCCTTTTTTTAATAATGCATATGACTTTTCGTTAAAAATTACATTTAAGCTTTTATAAATATTGTCTGTACCTGAAGAGGAACACCACTGTTCCACCTTCATTCTCCCTTCTAATCACTGTGTATGAAGAAATTCTGATACTGCAACTGGAAGCAGTAATTCATTTCATTTCATGCCAGGTCATGTGTTACTATTTCATTTTTGTCACATCATATGCTATGTATGCAGAACCAAAATCTTAAGTACTATGCCCCTCTTCTATTTCTACAAGGAAGAAAATGTACATTTTCTTGATATCAGTACTGAACTAAGTTTTTAAAAGTAAATGGAGCAAAAATAATTGCTTCATAAAGAGAAGGCCCCATTTCATTATAGATAATCTGCATGTTGAAACTTGTGAGACATCAAACATACCAACATGTATAATGGGAGTCTTAGAAGGGGGATAAATATTTGAAGAAGTAATGGCTGAAAACTCCCTCAGTTTGATTTAAAATACCCTTACATGGCTGGGTGCAGTGGCTCATGCCTATAATCTCAGCACTTTGAGAAGGTGAGGCAGGAGTATTGTTTGAGCCCAGGAGTTAAGAGAACAGCCTGGCCAACATAGTGAGCCCTGTCTCTTAAAACACACACAAAAAAACTACAAATACAAGGTTTTAGTAAAGCCTGGGATAAACATTGAACTACATCTAGACATGTTTTATAGTGAAACTTAGGGAAGATCTTGAAAGGAGCAAGAAAATTTTCTCATAGAGAGGAAATTAACAGCTGACTTATCAGAAACAATGGAGGCCAGAAGGCAATGGCAATATATTTGACATGCTGGAAGAAAATGAGCTGTCAACCTAGAATTCTACATCTAGCAAAACTGTTCTTCAAAGTAAATGCAAAATAGACATTCTCAGATTAATGAAGACCAAAAAGGTGTATTGATAGCCAGCCTGCCTTAAAAGCTGAAGAAAACCTTAAAGGCTTTAAAGAAATACCAGAAACTGACTCAAATCACTGATAGAAATGAGTATTATAAAAGTAAAATTTGTGGATAGATTTTTACATAAAAGATGAAATGTAGTTTTAGCTAGAACACAAAGCAATAATGGTAACTATTATTGAATTTATAATATATGTAACATGACAAAAAATGGCATAAAGTTGGGAGAAGGAAATAGAGCTATGTTTTAGAAAAGGTTACCAGATGAAATTACTGTTAAAAATGGCTGCATTAAACTAAAATGCACATTGTCATCACTAGAACAGCCACTAAGAAAAATAATACAGTTTAAAAATGAACACTCGCTGGGTGAAGTGGCTCATGCCTGTAATCCCAGCACTTTGGGAGGCTAAGGCAGGTGGATCATTAAGTCAGGAGTTCAAGACCAGTGTGGCCAAGATGGTGAAGCCCATCTCTACTAAAAATATTTTAAAAAAATTAGCCGGGCATGGTGGCACACACCTGTAATCCCAGCTACTCAGGAGGCTGAGGCAGGAGAATCACTTGAACCCAGGAGGCAGAGGTTGCAGTGAGCCGAGATTGTGCCACTGCACTCCAGCCTGGGCAACAGAGCAAGACGCCTTCTCAAAAAAAAAAAAACACTTCTGGAATAACTAAGGAGATTCCACTTCGGTAATAACTAAAGGACTTCTGCAGACATGTTTCCCATCAAAACAACCATAACTGGTGAAAAGTACTTGAAAACAGCTATTTAAAAGCACTGAAAATTGTCCTTAGGGTACACAGCAAAAGACGAAACATTTATACAAGAAAAATTTAAATTCAGTAATAACAGCAAAAACCTGTTTGACTGAACCAAGATCATCTCCCACCCTCAGTTCAGCCTGAGCACACTAGATGGAGCTCCTGGCCAAGAATATTAGGTTTCCTCTCCACTAACAAATAAGGTATCTCACCAGCTGGGTAGGCTGTGAACATTCCTGGTGTCTTAAGGGTTACAGCAAAGGCTAAATTCCTGGTACACGTCACTAAAATGTAGGGGACTCCCTTCCTTCACCCAGCTTCCATGCATAGGGCAGGCCAAGAGTACCTGGAGCCCAATTACCCTTTCCCCAATTCAAAAGGTAAAGATACTTTATAATGATAAAATGTTAATCCATCAAGTTATCATCAGTTATACCTAACAACAGAGCCCCAGTATATATGAAACAAAAACACTTTAATGGAGAAACTGGTTATTCAACAATAATAAAGACCAGTACTCCATTTTCAATAATGGATAGAACAACTAAGCAAAAGATCAACAAGAATATAAAAGACATCAACACTATAAACCAACTAAGCCTAGCAGACATTTATATGACATTCCACTCAACAGCGGAATACTGTTACATCTGTCTCAAATGCACATAGAACATTCTGCAGGGAAGATAATATGCTAGGCCATGAAATAAACCTCTGTATATTTTAAAGCTCTGTAATCATACAAAGCATGTTCTCTGACCACAAAGAACTCAAATTAGAGTAACAACAACAAAAACTGGGAAATTTACAAATATGTGAAAATTTAAAAACACTTCTTAATAAGCAATGGAAATTTAAAAATTGTTTGAGGCTGACACCACTTCCAACAGCGATGGGAAGGTCTGCATCCACAGCTGCTCAGCACCCCACTGCTGTGCTGCCATTGCCACTGGCATGAAGTAACAAGCATGGATCCTGCTGCCCCTACTTGACGAAGTGCTTTGACTAGAACCACCCTAAAGAGTGTTGTGCCCAGCGAGCTGGGAACACCTTGGTATTTCCAGCAGTGAGTTTACAACCTCAAAAGGCCAGAACAAAGTCAGGGCCCGATACCACCCCTCAGACTTAGAGCGTGCAGCCCAGGAATACTCAGCTGAGTCCTGACCTCCCCCTAAAAATCTACTAGAAACAAAGCTAGTTGGCTGAACCCACCTTATACTACAATGAGACGCCCAAGGAAATCAAAGAAAGAAAAAAAAGTCCCATCCAAAGGACAAGAATTTCAAAGATTGAAGGAACATCACCTCACACAGATGAGAAAGAAGCAAGAGAAGAGCTATGGCAGCTCAGAAAGCCAGAAGTCTTCCCTCCGAACAACTGCACTGGCTCCCCAACATGGCTCTTAGCTGAAATGGCTGAAACGACAGAAATAGAGTGCAGAGCAAGAATTGGAATGAAGATCATCAACATTCAAAAGATAGTTGAAATCCAGCCAAGCATTCAAATAAATACAATAAAATGATACAGGAAATAAAAGACAATATCACCATTTTGAGACAGAACTTAGCTGATAGAACCAAAAACCTCACTTCAAGAATTTCAGAATGCAACTGCATATATTAACAGCAGAATCAACCAAGCTGAGGAAAGAATTCAGAGCTCAAAGGCCTGCTCTCCAAAATGAGTCAGTCAGACAAAAAGGAAGAAAACTGATGAAGAACAGAATCTCTAGGAGATATAGGATTATGTAACACAACCAAATCTATGACTCACTGACATCTCTGAAAGCCAGGGCGAGAAACCAAGCAATTTGGAAAACATATTAAGCATACAATCCATGAAAATTTCACCAGCCTTGCTAAAGAAGCCAGTGTTCAATTCAGGAAATGCAGAGAACCCCTGCAGAATACTAAACAGGAACACCATCCCCAATACACATAAGTCATCAGATTCTCCAAAGCCAAAATGAAAAACAAAAAAAATGTTAAAGGCAGCTCAGGGGAAACCCCATCAGGCTAACAGCAGACCTTTCAGCAACAACTTTGCAAGTGAGAAGAGACGTGGGGGAGGGGGGCCTATATTCAGCATTCGTAAAGAAAACAGTTTCCAATCAAGAATTTCATTTCCAACCAAACTAAGCTTCATAAGCAAAGGAGAAATAAGATTATTTTCAGAAAAGCAAGTGCTAAATGATTGTGTTACCAGCAGCCCTGCATTACAAGCAGTCCTGAAGGGAGTACTAAACAAGGACGAGAAAGACCATTACTAGCCACCACAAAACACACTGAAGTACATAGACCAGTGACACCACAAAGCAACCACACAAACAAATATGTATAATAATCAACTAACAAGATGATGACAGGAACACATCCACACATATAAATACAAACTGAATGTAAATAGCTAAATGCCCCCAATTAAAAGGCACTAAGTGGCAACAGTCTCTGGCCAAAAGCTCCTTAATCTGATAATTTTACCAAAGCTTCAGGATACAAAATGTACAAAAATCAGTAGCATTGCTGTACACCAACAACATCCAAGCTGAGAGCCAAATTAAGAATGCAGTCCCATTCACAATAGCCACAGAAACAATGAACTGCCCAGGAATACAGCTAATCAGAGGGGCAAAAGATCTGTAAAATGAGAATTACAAAACACTCTTTAAGAAATCAGAGATGACACAAACAAATGGAAAACATTCCATGTACATGGACGGGAAAAATCAATACTGTTAAATGATTATACTGCCAAAAGCAATTTCTATATTCAATGCTATTCATATTAAAGTACCAATGTATTTTTCACAGAATTTAAAAAGGCTATTTTTAAATTCATATGAAACCAAGAAAGATCCCAAATATCCAAGGCAATCCTAAGCAAAAATAACAAAGCTGGGGGCATCATATTAACTGACTTGAAACTATACTAAAAAGCCATAGTAACCAAAACAGCATGGTACTTATATAAAAACAGACATATAGGCCAATGAAACAGAATATAAAGCCCAGAAATAATTCTATACAATTACAACCATCTGATCTTTGACAAAGTTATCAAAAACAAACAATGGGGAGAGGACTCCCTATTCACTAAATGCATATGACTGGGATAACTAGTTAGCCATATGCGAGTGAAACTGTATCCCTTCCTGACACCATATTAAAAAAATCAACTTGTCTGGGTGTGATGGCTCACACCCGTAATCCCAGCACTTTGGGAGGCCAAGGAGGGCAGATCATTTGAGGTCAGAAGTTCAAGACCAGCCTGGCAAACATGGTGAAACCGCATCTCTACTAAAAATGCAAAAATTAGCTAGGCATGGTGGTTCACACCTGTAGTCCCAGCTACTTGGGAGG